ATTTTCTTTTCTTTTGGTGCAATTTAAATGCTGGTCGCTAGTTGGCAGCAGTGTACAATGGGTTTTGTTTCCACCACTGAAATCCATTATGGATCCGATACCTCGTGTTAAACATGTTACGCATCAGTTTGGACTGTTTATTGAATTTTCTTACAGTAAATTCTGTCTAAAAAAAAGGTCGTTAATATCGTCTGGCTGAATATATCGTGATATATTGTATCGTCTCCCCTGTATCGTGATCAGAGCCGGATTAAATAAATGGACTACACTAGGCAGGCTGCATTTTTAGGGCCCCCCCCCTCCATCGATGTTATGTAATGAATTGAAATCTGAAACTTACAAAATTTACTTATAAAAGTTCATTCACATTTTACATAGCCTAGTTTTTGGTTACAAATTGGTTGTTTGTATGCCAAAATAAGTCATGTGTTGTAGGCTGTTGCCTCTGCTGAATCAGAAATTCTGTCAATTTTCTGAGTGTGAACTTATTGTTTTGCTATTTGAACATTAATAACATTATTTGACAAATAATTAATAAAACCAGCAACACTTACCAAGGAAACCATTTAGCATTATCTACTCCGGGATAACCTTCAGCCTTCCAGCATCACAGGCCTCAATCACAGCAGAAACACGTCTAAAGAAATGTTCCTTGGTTAAGCTTCAGTCTATGTCTCCAGATTTCCTCTGTGATGCAGAAGAATATCCAATATTTTGAGAGGGATAGTTTAGTGCAAAGTACTCATCAGTTTGGTACCACTTTGCAGGATCAGATGGGTAGCTAGTTGTTAATACCCTTTCTGGGTCTAGAGGCTCCTGTAAGACTATATTGGGCTCACTTCTGGCTGGCTGCTGTTCTTCCAGTTTGTCCTTCTGTGAAGGCGCTGATGTTGACGGCGTTGGCGCTACATCGTCTTCCGCCGCATCTTCCACTGCGTCTTCGGGTCGTGTCTCCTCCGGGTCTGACTTGGGCCCAGCCTCTGGCTCTGCTGACTCGAGCAGGTTCACAGCTGTTGGACGGCTGCCCGAGCAGCCCGACTGAAACTTCTGTAAAGCCCCCCCCCCCCCCCCCCCCCCCCCGGCTGTCTCTTCTTTAGTTCCTCTTCATTTTTTTTTTTTTTTACGTTTTGCCACATCCGAAAGCATCGTGAAAGTTAGCCTACTCAAAAACACCTGCTAGCTTTGTTGTGTCCCGCTCTGACTCTGACCGCTTCTCTGACGTCCTTCATTGGGTGGCGCCTTAACCCTCTGGGGTCCAGGGTGTAATTTGCAGTGAGTTTCCCTTTGTATTTCCAAAATAAAAACCATAATCACTGCCTTATGTGGTATCAATCTTTTCAGCACAACCTGGACTTTATGAATCTATGCTTATTTTTTATATTTGGACATAAAGGGGTTGCATATTAGACCTTAAATCACTCAAAAACATAAAATCTGAATAGGAAAAAAGTTGTTTATTTTACTGTGAAACCAACAAACATTTATGACGAATGTTTTTTATCATTTAGACTGGTAATCTAGACTGTACATTTATAAAAAATATGACTAAATATAGCAAATAACTAATTTAAAAAAATTATTAGCTCTCTGGGATCCAGAGTGTAAATCACCATTTTTGACTCATTTTGGTTTTTCTTTTGTATTTTCTAATAAAAACAATAAATATTGCCTTATGTGGTATCATTAATTTCAGGACAACCTGGACTATCTGAATTTATACTTATTTTATTAATTTGGCAATAATATACATGGATTTTGGAGAGAGAAGAGTGGCTCCGTCTCACGCCGAGATCTGACAGTTGCGCGGCGCCGCCCACTCCTCTTGTTGGATCTCCGAGGAGCTGGATCTCTGCCTTCATCCTCTACCTCATCATGACCCAACTCTTCTATGAGGAAGGATGGATCTGCCACATCATCATCATCATCCTCGCTATTTGCCTCAGACTCCGGCTGTGAGTCTCCGTCCACTTCCTCTGCTTCCAGTTCTAAAAACAGCCGTACCATCTGAACTGCCTGGTGGACATTTATCCTTCTCATCATCCTTTATATAAGCCTAATAAAAGCCTACTAAACTGCAGAGACAATATATCTGTCCGGATCGCTTCAAAATACAAAGTTTACCGTCAATATCTGTCTAATTGTTTGTTGTTACTCCGGTCGCGCCACTCCTTTCCCCGCGAAGTGGCTCCTTTTGCGCACATCTCTTTACTCGTGCAGCCTTCCTTTCTCTCTCTCAGCTACATAATGATGCTTTTTATCAACTGAATATGTGAGACTTCCACCAACAGCAAAAGGATCTCATGTTTTTGTGGGTTTTTAATGTTCACAAGCACATTCCCGCTCACGGATTACTAAACTGCTGTTTTGACAAGTTATCAGATTGTCTAAAAATAGGTCATTTTTTAGTTTAGTATAACTCCGCTTTTACGTTGCCTATTAACAAAATTTAAAAACTGGGGTGTAGTTTATAATCTCCTTTTTAAAGCTGAATTGAAACCGAAACCCAGGGAGGCGGAGTCTTGCTGCTACAGCGTCCCAAATCAGACCTGTTCAAAAGACGCGTATACTTGTCCGTGGACCCCAGAGGTTTAATGTGACGTAGCCAATGAAACGGTCTATAGTTATGATAAACATTGTCACTATTTTTAGTTAATTGATAAATTATTGAAACAAATTGTAGATAGGAGTCCTAGCTACAAATTCTATCATAGGACATTTGTACATTTAATTTTTAATTTATTTATTTATAATTTTGTTCCTCTGTCTGGGCCCCATCCAGCCAATCAGGCCCTAGGCACGTGCCTACTTTGCCTTTGCGTTAATCCGGCTCTGATCGTGATACGTATCTTATCGTCAGAATTCCACCAATACACACCCCCTACTAGCCACGCTCCAGAGAAGTGTCTGCCGCCCTGACCAGTAAGCTAATCACAGCTCTCTTCTCGGTTTGGTGGGCGGCATGATGCGGGAGCACAAAAACCAAAATGGTGACAGCTCGTTTCAAACAGCTTTGGCATCAACTTTGGACTATTTTAGGTTTTTCTTTGACTCAAGAGCAGATAGAGGTACTCAAGTCCTTTTATTTAGGATGTATCGGAGTCTTCTTCAACAGAGTATGGTGGCCTGCCCCGTTGACTAACATCTGTATGGGTAAGTAGGTCATGTTGTCCAATGCCCAATAGCATGCAGAGACAGTCTGAAAGACAACCGTAGAGTCAGCCCCATGCCTGAGGGGTCGTGTCCAGACCGTATATAAGATGGCTTGCTCTGACTTTTACTTGCACCAGAAAATTGGCTCGTGAACGGAATTGGCCCTTCTTCAGCGCAATCGAGTTAACCAGTCACCTGTGAATCTGAAAACCTAAAGAATTGGGTTGTTTCCAGTCGGAACACATCGTTTCAAAGCAGCAATATAAAAAATCTGACATTGGCCATTTCTCAGTACGAGCACTTGTCTACTTGTGTACACACGTCCTTGTGAAAGGTCATCAACGATGCCCCAAGTACTGTTCCAATCCTAAGTACACATCATTGCAAGTTCACTCAAAGTTCCCTGATGGGTTCTTGCTCCACCCACTGTATCAAGGACGCATCCTTCTGCAGACTCGGCATAGCAAACTATCCCACATTGCATCGCATCACAAACCGTTATACTCCCAACATCAAAGAAAGCTTATGACTGCAGTGTTTTATAACAGAAATACAAATAAAGAAATATGAAGTTGTCTGTTACTGTAAATTATTTTGTGTAGCCTGCAAATGTTGCCATGCGTGTTTGAGTTTTACTCTAAGCGACCCCTCAAAGTTCTAATTGGCTAACCCACTATCAAAATAAAAGCGGTGCATCTCTGTTCTGATGAAAAATAAACTTTTTTATTCATTTAACAGCAGGAAATGCTGGTAATTTATCGGTTTTGAGCAAAAGTGGACCAAATATTAGCCCAATAATACATTTTCACTGTTATTTTGTTATTTAAGGAACAAACTAGACTTTTATTTTTATTTCGGGTCATTTGTTTAACCACAACAAATAGCATCATTGCCATGATGCTTCTGATCCAAACTCGTCCTCGTCCTCCCCATTCACATAGAATGGACTTTCTGGTGTCCTTGCCGAGAACATACTTGTCAAGTACACAAGGACGTACTATTCAATTCCATTCAATTTTATTTTTTATAGCGCCAAATCACGACAAGAGTCGTCTCAAGGCACTTCACATAATAAACATTCCAATCCAGGTCAGTTCATTAAGCCAATCAGAAATAATGTTTCCTAAATAAGGAACCCAGCAGGTCGCATCAAGTCACTGACTAGTGTCAGTGGTCAGTGACTTGATGCAATCCTCATACTAAGCAAGCATTTAGCGACAGTGGAGAGGAAAACTCCCTTTTAACAGAAAGAATCCTCCAGAGGATCCTGGCTCAGTATAAGCAGCCATCCACCATGACTCACTGGGGATCGAGAAGACAGAACGCAAACAAACAAACACACACACACACACACACCCCAAGCATTGACAAACGGCAATTGTTTCCAGTCGAGTGGCTCAGCTTGCACTAAAAAATAACAGATCTTTATGATGGAAGTTTTGTATTGTAGAACCCTTATTTTGAAGTTATCTAAGAATACTGAAATTGTATTGTGTTAGCTGTAGTTGAAGAAGAAGACGATCTTTTATATAGTGCCTCTCAAGATGAAAAAAATCATGAGGCGCTTCATAAAAACAAAAATTTAAGCATAAAAAGATTTTTAAAATGATTAAAAATATGTTTAAAAGGAGAAAAGTACAAAAAAGTAAATGACAGGAGAGAGAAAATGAATAGGAAAGAGGGAAATCAATGGATCCCGGGAAAGGCGGAATAAGAACAGAATAAGGAGAGGGTTCCAGGTAAACTGGAATCAACAGGTATGGGTTCAGGTGAATTTAAATCTGTCCACTGGTTAATGAGATACCTTTCAAAAAGAAAAACAACCAATAGTAGCAGTTGTTGCCGTTTACCTCCTTTGTTCCAGTCGCTGCAGGACGCTCCGCCGCTCATTCCCAGGAGGACATCAGCAACCTGCAGGACAACTCTGTCCACAAAGTCCCGTGGGAGAGCGGCGCAGTTTCTCACAGTTTCGACTCTCTCTCTAGGCTGGAAGCCAGCTCCCCACGCACTACCAGCAGGTTTGACCTCCGACCTTTGGATTGGGACCACGGGGGAGGTCTGGCGGCTCTGGATGTAACGAGCTCTTTGCTGCTCGTACTCGGCCTCGTCGGACGGCTCGTAGCTCCTCGACTTTCCCACCAGACACACCTGTGGGAATGTCGACGCACACTGAATACCAACTTCCACAAAGTCAAGGAACACTTGGTCTCTGCATGAAAAGCGTTGCAGGCTTCACAGCGAACTGGTCCGAAAACTGGTATTGCACAAATAAAATAGGAGCAAAATCGGTAAATCAGCAGATGAACTAGTCACCCTCCTTCCTTCGGGCATCAGATTGAGCACCTTTTCACTAGCCTGACTTACACCGTTTGTTCTCGCATGTCTAACGTGAGTCAAATGACCACAAATCAGTCTAAATGTGGGTTTGTCTCCGTGTATCGTGTGATTGTCCTGTTGAGACTAACTGGCTGTGTTTAGTTCACCTACACGTTTGGTGGAGGGGACTCTCAGGCAGTCCTCCTCGGTGTTGAAGCCACAGATGCGGCTGATCTCTGCGATGAAGTCGATGTATTCTTTATACTGAGACTTCTGACTCTGGCGCCTCTGGTATTTGCCATAGAAGTCAAAGAAACAGCAGGGGAGGACAAAGTAGCGGCAGGACGGAGAGGACCTGAAAGCAGGAGGAAATAAGAGTTTGATGGAGTAAACAAAAAGCTGCGAGTCAGTCAGATGTAGGGTTCTCAGTGTGAGGCTCAACATCGCCACCATGTGGCCACTATATTAACGTAAACACACACACACACACCCGTTATGTAATTAGAAAAACGGAGATGAGCTGGTGCTGGAGCTGTCAGGTGTGATTGTGTATTTCGCAGAGACTCGCCTGGCTGCTATAACGGGGATCCACGGCGTGAGCTCATCCGAGTGGTTCCCAATCAGCCAGTCTGTAGCCGGGAACAAGAAGCTCCCGCTGGGAGTAATTGCCTTTTCCTAAAATAGAAAAAGAGTCAAAAGGCTCAAAAGCTTATCAGAGGAGAGGGGGAGAAGATGCAAATTGGTTTGATTTAACTCAGAAAACTTAGTGGAAACTGTCTAGAAGGAGACCCTTTAACAACCTCCTCAACCCTGTAATTCACCCTAGATGAGACTCTTCTGGGATCTGTCGTTTTTGCTCGTTATTTTTATAAATGGTTTTATTTCAAGTGGAGGGACGATATAAAAGAAAAACATCAAAATGACAAATTTGTCCAAAAAGTAATCAGACTACAAAAACTTTTTATTTTTTGTTTTAATGAACAATTAATACTAAAAAATCTACATCTAATAGATGATTAACATTTCTAAATAAAACACACATTTCTAAGAGCTCTCCTCAGAAACCTGCTGGAGTAAATCAGTCACATACTCTGCCCCCTGGTGGCGGATCAAAGTACTGCAAATGTTATATGTCACTGTTTTTATTTATTACAGGAAAGTGATCAAATATTTGCCAATGAACTGATTGGTTTCATGAACATATTGAGTTCTGTGCCTATGAATTAAGAAACATCTGGTAACGCTTCCTTTTACAGTCCCCTAATTACTAGTACTTACATGTTAATTACATAGTAAGTTAAAGTGTACTATTGTTTCTGAGTTCTTAAACAGTTATTACCATGTAACTCAGGTTCAATTCTAGTATTTATTTTATTAACCGTTCCCAGTAAATACTGCTTTACACAACAATTACACCTCATTACGATTATACACGTTAATTACACAATAATACACTTTAACTTGCTGTGTAATTACCATGTAAGTACTTAGTAATTAGGAGACTGTAAAAGGAAGCGTTACCAAACATCTTTATAAATATATTTTTGCTTTAATAAATGATCATCAACTAATTATGTTTTTTATATAAAGAAACATTTCATTTCATACCTACTAAATTAATAGAAAATTTAAATCAACTGAATAGAAAAAGATTTTGATATTGGAAAGCCACCTAAATATCATAGAAAGACTGTTTATTTATCTTATGAATACATAAAGAAAACTTGATCTTTACATTCAAAAAGGGAAACTTTCATTTCTACACAGTGAAAATACGCAACAGAAACTCTCAGTAAGGAGTCGAGGCCGAGAGATGGAGAGATACTCGTGTTTTAGGTCAAAATAAACCCAAATTTAAATCGTTTAACACGGCTAAAGCCTCACCTCTCTCAGCAGACTCACCTCTAACACGGTCTGAGGGCCGTACATGTCCCAGATCCTCCTCCTCCGAACATCGAGACCCCTACCAGGATGCTGCAGCACAAGGCCACATCAGAGCGTTAAATCCTAGTTAAGTGTTACAGGTTTATGGATTTAGGAGAAGCACGCCCTCCCAAACTTACCCCTTCGTTTGTCAGTATGTGAACCAGGAGGCCATTTCCACAGCCGAGATCCACGAAGGACTGCGGGAGGGTCAGATTTGTTTCTGCTCTCTCCTCATCCCACAGGACCTGCAGCCATAGAGAGACGTCACCCTATTGGACGCTCCTGACATCCTGTCACCTGATGCTAACGCGGATCCACAGAGAGCTTTTTACCCGACATAAACGTCGTGACTTTTCTATTTTACAAAAAAAAAAAAACTAAACCCACCAGGAGGTATGTAGCGATGGCAACGTCCTCATACACAAATTTCTCAGGATCCGTGACCTCAGGCCAAACCTAAAAATCACAAACGCGACAACACGTCACACCAGGAAGTGGATGAGACCACCCTGGAGCTTCTGCTCTCCTCACCTTGACCATGGCCTTGTACTTCTCCTTCAGCTGCTGGTACAGGAGGCTGTACTTCTCCACCGGCAGCAGAGACAGCGTACTCCTGAACTCACTGGTCCTGCACTCGGCGGCCCAGTGCACCAGCTTAGGCAGCAGATCCGAGGACAGCCAGGACAGCCTGGGGTAGGCCACACCATCAGAAAACCAGGAGTCTGACGTCAACACGTGGAGCTGTAAAGTCCTGCAGAACACCCAGAATGTAACGTACTTTTACAACGATAACTCGTGTACATACACAGAATTCTGTTTCTTCTGCTTATTTTGTTGCTTGCAGTTCAAGACTTGTTTACTTTTGAATATTTTAGTAAGCATGTATGTTTCCTTCTTGTTATTTTTGCTGTCAGAGAGAGAGAGACAAAAGTATTTGGTTTGCATGGTGATCTTAATGCAGAATCCATATTTTCTCTCAGATGGCACCACCTAGAGGTGGAAACATGTATTGCACCTTTAAGCCCCTCCCCGTCTCCCCTATTGCAGCTGGAAGCAACGTCTGTCATTCATGAACGCACAGCGCTAGGCGGGCAACAGCTTCATGGAGATGGACACTTCACACGTTAGATGTAGCAACGTTTTATATTTACGTTTTAGTCACATTGGTCGGGTAATTAAAACTTCCATGATTCTTGAACAGCTCAGAAACTCAGCTCAGTCGAGGTGCTTCCGCGAACATTTTACAAGCTGATAAATCTCAAGTACGTGACTGGCGTGGTCGAAACACGCATCATTACTTTTATTTGAATTGAAGTATAAAATGTGTGTGATCCAGGGTCTAAGGCAAAGCGGATTAGAAAACAGCTCTTTTAGCCTCGATGACTTGCACTCATTTTTTCATTCTTCCGGGGACTGATGAGCTGGCCAGCAAGGGAGGAGGCTATATAACAGCACAGGGTAAGATGGGATGGGTACCTTTGACATTTGAATCAATCCGGTACTAATTCCCGGTACCTACGAATCGATACCGGTACTTAACGGTACCAAATTTAGATACTTTTGAGTGTTTAATATTTTAATTCTCTTTTATAATTAAATATTTTTTTTTCTCAATATATAACCATATTTGATAAATATCACGATAAATAACGTTCAACTGTTTGTATTTTAACATCATCTTTGTAGTTTTATAAGCTGATAATTAAACTGAAGCAAACATCTTTACTGTGAACTAAATTTACTGTGTCTCTTCATTCCTTTTGCCGTCTTTTCTCATTTGATTTTTCCTACTGGGAAGTTAGAATTTCCGAGGAGAAAGCGAACGCACCATTAACTGATAACAATGGTAGCAAAGGAAGCTAACATACCAAGCTAACGTTATCTTAAACAGTTTATTTAGCTGCTGGAGCAGATTAAAACGATGATGCCTCACACTTAGATCGTTGTCACTGGTTTCATCTTCACCCAATCACCCGTCACATTTAGTAAAGTGAAGCCAAACTTTAGAGCGCGTTCATGTTCTTCTAGTCGGAAATTCGGAGTTCCGAGGAGAAAGCGAACGCACCTTTAGCGAAACGGAAGCTAATATATGAAGCTAACAATATCTTAAACATTTTATTTACCTACCGGAGCAGATTAAGATGAGGATGTCTCACTTAAGATCGTTGTCGCTGGTTTCATCATCACCCAGTTACCCATCACATTTAGCGAAGTGGACCCAAGCTTTAGCGTGTGTTCTTTCTACCATGCTGCTCTGTTTACAACTGGCTCGCAGCGAGCGATGACATAACGCTCTTGCGCATGCGCAGCTGTCTTGGCAAGTTCTCGTTATCAAGGACGGGTACCGAAACGAGGCACCGTTTGAAATGACATGAATCGGTGCTCGGTCGGTACTATGGAATTCGGTCGGTACCTTAAAAAGTACCGAATTCGGTACCCATCCCTAGGTAAGACTGTCACTTTTACGGATTTATAAAAAGCATAATTCACCGAATGGAAGAAAGCTTCGGTGTGCTGTCCGATCACCATGCATTGGCAGATTGGCGTACGCGTATTACAGCGTGTCATACATTGCTTTAAGCTGTATGACACTTTGATGGGCCAGTTTATCTGTCAGACCACCAAACACTTTGCTTCATCAACCACCCTGACTGACTGTCAATTTTCTTTATAATTTAAGCTTAATTATCGCCAAGTTTGATCAGAATTACAAGGTGGCAAAATAAAAATATGTGGTACACAATCATCAGTTCATTGTTGTGGACAATAAAACATTATGAACACAACTGACAAAAGTTTTCCTCGTACTTTGCCGTCTGAATGCTGAACTGACGGCTCCTCAGAATGCAGCAGCGGTTTAGATGAATGTGCATAAATGTGTATGGTGCTCTGTCAGAACATCTGGTTTCTGTTTTTGTGAACTACTAGTTGTCACCATGGTGACACTGACATAGTGAGCCACAGGCAACAGCTTTAACATTTTTTGGCTGATCTTGTTTATTTCTGCAATTCTGGTGCAATTTAAACACGTAAAACTCACCAAATTTCTTAGGAATTATTCTATCATTTTTACTTTTTGCCGAGATTTAAGATTTCAGACTCACCACTCCTCGCTGCAGAGCCTCAGCTGATAAATGTTGCCTCTCCTTAAGGACACTTTCCCTCCTGCAGCCTCCTCGAATGGTAGAAAAGTCACCTGCTGTCTGTCAAAGTCTGCAGAATATTTATAAAAGTTGGCATCACTAGTAGACCCAATTAACCCAGACTGCAGTTCAGGTGTTTACCTTTCAGTATGACCTCTTTATGCGAGGTTGAGCCGTAACAGCTGACTTTGGGAATGAACGTTCTGCTGGTGAAAGACCAGGGTGTGTCCTGATGGTGTGCTGCTGACGCACCACTGCTGCTGCAGAGGAACAACATCACATCTTTAAAGAGTTCTTCATCATCGTCCAGCAGGAACCGCAGGTCTTCTCCGTCCGCTTGTCTGCCCTCCGTCTCTTTAACGCCACAGAGACGCTTGTTCACAACATGAGGCTTTTTAACCCACACGTCCACCGCCGACCAGAACCCATCAGGGAGGGTCCCGCATCCCTCTGGAAACTTCATGTCGAATAGTTTAGGCATATTGAAGCCGGAAGTAGATGTGAACGGCACTTAGTTGTTGAAGGCTTTCATTGCTATACCGGAAGTAAATGTTGTAAAAACATTACCGTAAAAACAACAAAAGTGTCAAATGCTTTATACTAATCGGGACTGGACATTGCTGCTCGTGTCAAAAGAAGCTAAAAATGTCGCAGCTTTCTGACGTTTCACTGAAGTCCAACATTCTCAAGAAATGACCAGCAGAGGGCGCTGTTTCTTTGAGGAAAGAGTAAAATGGCTTCACTTTTACGTAGAAGAATTTTTGTTTATGTTCAAAGTGTCACCTTTTTCTGTTGAATTCTGAATTTAACATAATAAATGTTTTTCTTTTCCTCAAGAATTGATTTAATCTGTGTTTCATATGAAATTAGTTTGTTGATCTATTGAAAAAAGTATTTTATTTGTAGTTTTTAGTTGTTTTTTTCTCGTGTTTATTAGCCTGTGCTATTCAGATTGTGAATAAATCAACATGTTCAATTTTCTAAATGAGTCAACGTTGGGGTTTTTTAAACATTTTGTCTGACCTCAGTATGGACTTTTTTACACAAGCACTTTATATCCTTTCACACTTAAAACTGTGAGTAACTGTATATCTTTCAGTTACTTATTTATGAATCACTTTCATTGTTCAGTTTCAGATATGACACCGTTTCACTACATCTCCTGGGTTTGTTTAAATTTCTGCGTTTAAAAATGATGAACTCAGTGAGCTAGTTCTCAGCTGATTCTCATCCAAATCCCCACATCTGCACATTCCCAGTCCTTATATCTGACACTGTAAAATGACACCAGGAAAAAGGCAAACATTCCTGTTGGCCTCACTCTCTAACTCTGCTCATCCTTTATAAATAAGCTGCTTGCTTACTAAATAAAACACCTGTCAGGTGGCTTTTTGGCAACATTTGTTTTGATCACCAAATGTCCTCTTAATCAATTTTGTTATTGCAACAGAGTATCATCAAATACACATTTCTCTGCAAATGAGTTGAGTCCATAAAGGATATGGAAATAGATCAGCCCGGCTTTTCCTAATCAGTTGGCAACCATGTTGTATTTGTTATTTCAGGAAAGAAAATAGGGAGGAGTAACTTGTAAACTTTCTGCACCAGGAAGTGCAAAGTTAAGACAGACCTTGCACTGTGCTGCGTTGCTGGGCTGTAAGAAATATCTGGTCAAACTTGTCTGGCAGCAGCAAAATCATTCCCACTCCTTTATTTTACTTATTGCTCATGGCTGTTTTTGTTTGGAAATAGATGTAATTAAATATGAATAATGGAGATAATTGGCTGTGGGAAAATTACATTTTATTAATTAATTGACTTGTAGCTGGTGACTGCCCACCCCTTTCATTTATGTAACTCAGCAAAACAGATTAACCGGCATGTTGTAAAAGAAAAACAATAAAATTAAAAGGAAACACTAAAATAGACATATGTGACAATAGTTTGATTATTTTCTTTCAATAAACCTAACGTTCAGAGTCCAGTCTGTTCAGAAACATTAGCTTCATTTTAGGTTTTAGCTAATGCACACAAAATTTGGTGTCTTTTGGGTCTGAATAGACTTTAGCAATTTTATTTTAGATGACATTGTATTTCTCTTTTGTTTGTTGTTAAATTGTAATCAATTAGCCAAACTGTTGCATTAAATATTTTAGCCATAGAGCTAAAAAATATACTGTTTGAACTAACTTGACATGTTTTTTTAAACAAAAACATTGTTTAAGGTTTTTATTGAACTGTAGCTGAACACAACTCATCACAATTTGGTCTAAACTGTGTAGACTACAAAGTCATTTTAGTTAGCAAAACTGACACCTTACCTTTTAGCCCTAAAGCTAACAGTTAGCCCTAACAAACACAATAAATCACTATTTTAAAACCCCTTTACCAACAATTTCTGAACAATTAATTAGGGAGCTAGTAAAAGGGAACCATAAAATCCAAGCAGCTAAAGGAAGCAGCACAACACAGGGTTATTTTTCTGAGGTTTGAAAATACACAAAAGTCACACACATAATTATGACTACACAACAGCAAAACGCTTCAACAGAACTATTAGATGCCATAACTTAACAACAGTTGAAATAAAAAATAAAACAATTACAATAACATCAAACTATAGCTGTTGCCTCTCATTTAGCCTACTAACCTTGTTTTCAACGTAATTGATAGTATATCATGTATTAGAGCACAAGACAAATTTGACAACTTCAAGTTCAGTTTTTTTTACCTCTGTTTTATATTTATGCCAACTTCTGTTGAAGGTTTTATTGCTGTGATGGAGCTTTTTGTTGTTTTTTGTCTTTTGTGCTTTATTTTATTTTATTTTTTTTTTCTTCTGGGTCACTGTACTTTTTTACTCCTTTAGATATGTTATATAATACATATTTTTCACAATTTGGATTAAGTTATTATTATTTGTACTAACTCATTTGAGTTGGCTAAACATCTACCTGATAGTGAATCTTTTAACTACGGGTGTTCTGAGCTCTGCAGGTAGATTATTACTGTCTGGCGGGTTTTCCTTCAAGCTCCAGGTGAGAGAACAGTCCGGAAGAGGTGGGTGTGGTCAGTGAGAAACTAGGAAGAGGAGGAGGGAATAGCTGAAAAACATTGCAGTAACACACAGGTAGATTGCTTGAACGCTTTGTTCGAGTCAGTAAAAAATAAATTCAAGAATTCTATTAAAACATTTCTCTTGAATTAACGAACCCCAGCCTGGATCTGGTCGCATGGTCGGTGACCCACCGACGTCTCTGCGTGTTTCGATGCCGACATGAATCACCTGTTCCTGGGTGTGAGTGGTTGAGGAAACAGCCATCAGATTGGGGGCTGAGCCGCTTTACATCAACGGTAAATATCAGAATTAATAAGACATTTATCGTGTTTATGAGTCTTGTTTTCATTTACCTAAATGTATTCAGAGATAATTAACAATTAATAGAAGTTTTAATACAACTTATTTAAGTAAAAATCAATAATAATCATTAGTAACCATTTATTTTAATGTAACATACTGTCCTTAAAGTGTGCACTTTCTAATTTAAAAAGTTGAGCTTGTCCACTGGCTGGACCTGCTCCTACAGAGAAAACAGGAATCATCAGAGTAAACTAAAGGATTCCTTCATTCATAACAGAGCTGGAGTCATAAAGTGAGACCAGTTTTCCAGGTGACTTCTCGTCCACATCAGGCTGATTTTCAGTAGCTTAACAGGTTAAACATTCATCGCTCTGTACACACTAGCTGACCCATACCTGTGTGTTTACCATCTTTGAATTATTTAACTTAATTATGTTTGTAGTCAGCAATATTTATTTGATCCTCATTTTTGGGAGTTGCTCAGGGAGACGAATGCATGTCTTGGCCTGTACTTTCTATCAGACAGGAGAACATGAAGCTCTTTGACTCACCGCCCTACTGAGGAATATGATCATTAGCAGGTTATTTAGAGGTGAACTCGTCTTCAGGAGATTCACGAGCAGCAGGCTGAGTTTCTGTCAGTCAGGGGGAAAATCTTTCAGTTTCAGTGGCGTGGAAGTGGTTTTCCCCTCAGTGTTGGACCCATAAATATTTACTGTAAAGATAACTAAAATGAAAGTCAGGATTCAGGAAATTCAGAGTCAGTCTCGTGGTTTCACCCCTCCGTGTTATCTCAGCAGTTTCATAAATACGGAGTTGATCCGGTTGAACTGGTGGCTTCACAACACCAACAAGCTAATGTTTCAGCCCTCCAGTTGTCTTTCACAAAGACGCAGAATTCCCTGTGGGATCGTTGATATCTGAGTTTCAAATGAGTCCAACCGATTTTCTCTGGGACATTTAGTCTTCTCTCTCTCTCTCTCTCTCTCTCTCTCTCTCTCTCTCTCTCTCTCTCTCTCTCTCTCTCTCTCTCTCTCTCATATTTTCTCAATTGGTTGGTTTTACTTTAACGTGTGAACGTCTGGAAGAGTGATGTACAAGCATCATGTTTACTCTGCCATCAGCAAACATCCAGATTTGCGCTCCAACTAGAGACGGGTTGGTTACTGGTTTCATGCCCCTCTGAATGTCAGAACATTGAGTTTTGTTTTTCTGTCATATTATTCCTGAAACTCTGTTTTTGTTTTGCTCCAAGGAAAACTCCCTTTTCCTTTTCTCCATAACCCCCCTACACACACAAAACACACTCCATTTTCCCTTTTCACAAAAGGACATCCATCAATTACTCGTCTATCTTAGCTGAATTAAAGAGTATGCTATCTATAAATAAACAGATACAGATAAGAGAATTAGCATACCAATAATCAGAGCACAGAAAACCTTCTAGACCAGAGCTGGGAGACTTGGGGATGGACTGTCCAATCTCTGGGGCAGGAGTCACTGAGGTAGTCACACAACTATGCAGCGGCGGAGCCCCTGGGTGGATGAGATCTGACCTGGGTATCTCAAGGCTATGGATGTTGTAGGGCTGTCTTGGTTGACATGTCTCTGTGACTTTGAGTGGTCATCAGGCAGTTCCTGTGCAGTGGTAGACCAGGGTGGTGGTCCTAATTTTTGAAAAGGGGGACAAGAGGGTGTGTTCCAACTATAGAGGGATCACACTCCTCAGCCTCCAGGGAAAGGTCCACTCCAGGGTACTGGAGAGGAGGGTCCGGTCGATAGTTGAACCTCAGACAGAGGAGGTGCGATGTGGGTTTTGTCCTGGCTGTGGAACTGTGGACTAACTCTTTACCCTTGCTAGGGTGATGGAGGGGTCATGGGAGTTTGTCCAACCAATCCACACGTGTTTTGTGGATTTGGAGAAGGCACATAGGCACCCTGTGGAGGGCACTCCAGGAGTATTGGGTGGATGGTCTTTTGCTAAGGGCCATTCAGTCCCCATACCAGAGGAGCGTGAGTTTTGTCCGCATAGCCGGCAGTAAGTCGGATCCCGTCCCAGTGAGGGTTGGACTCTGCCAGGGCGGCCCTTTGTCATCGGTCCTGTTCATAATCATTGGTGTAATTTGGGGGGGGGCATGTCCCCCCCACTTTTTCCAAAGTCAAGTTTTGACCCCTGCACTTTTTACCATCCAAAAACAATATTACTTTATATTAAATTGACACAGGTTGAGCTCTAGGACCAAGCAGAAAACAACTGTTTGTGTTGAAGCCTGTTTCCCATTAGAACATACTGTAAAGATACCCCCCCCCCCCCCGGGTCCCCCCCCCCCCACTTCTAAAGTGAAAATTACGTCCATGTTCATAATGTTTATAGACAGGATTTCTAGGTGCAGCCGTGGTGTGGAGTTTGGTGGCAGCAGAATCTCATCTCTGCTTTATGCAGATGATGTGGTCCTCTTAGCTTCATCATGCTCTGACCTGCAACTCTTGCTGGGGAGTTTCGCAGCCAAGTGTGAAGCAGCTGGGATGAGGATCAGCACCTCCCAAGTCTGAGACTGTGGTTCTCGACCAAAAAAGGGCAGATTGCCAACTTTGGGTGGGGAGAGAGGTCCTGCCTCAAGTGGAGGAGTTCAAGTATCTCGGGGTCTTGTTCACGAGTGAGAGAAGGAGGGATCGGGAGATCGACAGGCAGATCGGTTCAGCGTGCAGCGATGCGGACGCTGAGCCGATCTGTTGTGGTGAAGAAGGAGCTGAGCCGGAAAGCAAGGCTCTCGATTTACCAGTCGCCCAGTCCTCACCTATGGTCATGAGCTCAGGGTAATGACCGAAAGAACAGGATCGCAGATACAAACGGCCAAAATGGTTCCATCACATAGCGAGGGTGGGGGGCCGTTGATGTTGTCCTGCGGGATGGTGTGGGTGGGGGTGTGTGGGGTCTGAGTTTGGAGTATCCGGATGTTCCCTGGAGGTGAGTTCACTGGGGGTGTCTGGGACTGGGGGGCCGTTGCCCCCCTCTGGAGGTGCTTGGGTTGCCTCGGGGGGTGGACTGCTGGCGGTTGTGAGTGGGGCCTCTTGGGGATCTTGGCGGCGGCCATGGGTCACTGCCTGGCGGCTGCAATGCCCCTGGGCGGGTCTGGGTGGGGGCCTGGGGGCTCGGGGTTTGGGGGTGGCCGGCCCCGTGTGGGGATCTGGGCGGGGCCTTGGGTTCAGGGGCCTCAGGTAGACCTTGGCTCCTCTGCCGTTCCATCACAGGGGAGGGGGAGGTCCAGGAGGGGGAGGACCCAACCTTACCTGGATGTCCCATGTCTTATATATTCTGGAAGTTGTGCAAATGCAGGGGTGGGCATAGATATTCTGCTGGGGTGGGGCTGGTTTGGTGCCCTCGGACTCCGTGAGGCTCTGTAATGCTGCTGCTTTGGGCCCTGGCAGGATGGGCTGGGGTCTCCATGCCCTGGGTGGCGGTTGGACAACAGAGGTGCCTATTGGGGCCAGTAGGGGAGCTGGCTCCCTGGAGGGCTAAGCCCAACCAGCCATTCCTCCCCATCCCCGCATATTTCTCTCCTCCTGCTCCCTCACATCATCACACAAACATACACATAGGACCTTGGGGGGTGGGCAAGTCAGGGAGTGCGGGTATGGACCCCATTTCCGCATTCCTGTGGAAACCTGCCCCCCAATTTTATTTGCACCTTATACACTTCCACTGACGACATTCCACACAAACACACACTTAGGGCCTTGGGAGTGAGCACATTCAACGGCATTTGGCAGGGGGATATTTCAGCCTCCTCCCGAGTGCCGGTGCCCACTTCCAATTTTAAACCGCACTTAGACACTGATGGCTGAGGGTGTAAGTGGGGTGGTGCGGTGGCATCAGCTGGCATATGCTGGATGATGCCTGCACTGCCCACTCACCACAGCCATGGAATACACCTCATGATCACACAACACTATATTGGAGCAGGCGGAGGGAGACTAGGGGTCTTAGCCACCTCTGTTGTTGCTGGGCTTCCTGGGGCTGGAGGCTAGGAGGGAGATCTGGCCGTCTGGTTGGGGTCTGGGGTGGTGGGTTGCTGTGCTCAGCGTTGGGCGGGGGAGCCTGCTCATCAGCACCCCAGCAGAAAGGGTCAAACTCTGGTTACCGGTGATGGTTGTACCCAATGTGCAGCAGTACCGGGACCAAAGTTAATAGGGTGTGTATGGGGAGCATGAGTGGGTGTCCGGCATGCATTTTTGTAAGTCTTGGGTTGTATGTGCATGTGTGAGCATGAGGGAGGGAGTGTGTGACTGTGTTTGTGTATGACTGTATATGTCAGGTGGGGCCTTTGGGTCCTCCCCTCTCCTGGAACTTCTCTTGATGATATAGATCTCTGTCCCCCCTCCCCCTGCCACACCTGGTGTGGGGGCTTGTGCCTTGGTCTGCCTGAGTGTTCGTGGCAACCGGGTCTGGGGGTTTAAAGATTTTGGCATCTGCCTGTTAGATCCCGGTGGCTGCCTGGTGGGGTCTGGGTCCCTGGGCTCTGCTGGGTCCCCGGCGGGGGTGGTCGCCCCTGGGTCCCGGGTCGCTGGGTCCCGGGCTCGGCCGGCTAGGGGGTGGGAGGTTGCGGGCGGGCCTGTGGGCTTTCCGCTGATATCTCCGGGGACTCTGCCGGCTGCTGGTTGTGGCCCCCCGGGGTGATCCTCTGTGCCTCTCGAGGGGGGCGGGGGCCTTCCTGGTTGCAGTCTCCTTGGGGTTCCTGCGTTCTGGGGCAGCGCCTGGATCTCTGGGACTTGGAGCTCCCCCTGTCTCCTGCGCATCTTTGGGGGGCAGATCTGTGGTTCCTCACACTCTCTGTTGGGCGCTCCTATAGAAAAACCTTAAATAAACAAGTGCGTGTACACACACAGGTGCTCACATGGTGCTCTCAAAAGTATGGGCTTGGGCACGTTAAACACAGGTCTTAAGACTATGGTGGGCACTTAATATGTTGTGATTTATTATCGTGATTCTTCAGTTAAGCAATGTTGATTATATATATATTTATTTTTTCTTTTCATCAAGATGACGCAGTGAGAGGTAGATCTTGTCGTATTGTTGTTGTGTCCCTTTTTTGTGTCCCTTTGTTTTTTTTTGTCTTTTTTCTGCAGGTCTAGAAGCAGACTCTTGTTCATTATTGTTTATTTTTGTGGACCCCCCCCCCCCCCCCCCTCTCTCTCTCCCCACCTTTTCTTTTCCTTTCTCTTTCACCTCTGTCTCCGTGTCTGGTCGGAATTACAAAGCATTCAGCAACAATAACAATAAAGTTTTAAGTATCAGGCGTGACATTTAAAGCAGACGCTTTGATGCTCCACCTGAGAATAAATCTGTAAGGCTTGTCACCAGCATTCAGACATCAATTCTGCTTGCTTCACAGCCAGACAGGACACGGTAAAAAAAAAAAAAAAAAAAAAAAAAAAAAACGGCCAAAATGAGTTTTCTCCACGGGGTGGCGGGGTTTAACCTTAGGGATAGGTTGAGGAGCTCAGACATTCGGGAGAGACTCGGAGTAGAGCCGCTGCTCCTCCATATCGAGAGGGTCAGTTGAGGTGGTTTGGGCATCTTGTATGCCTGCTGGACAACTCCCCAGGGAGGTGTTTCATGCATGTCCTGCCGGCAGGAGGCCCCCTGGTCGACCCAGGACACGTTGGAGAAAGAAAGAAACTCCCTGGTTAGCATGCTGCCCCCACGACCCGGACCCGGATAGTCGGAAGAAGACGAGACGAGATGAGAAAACCTTGTATATGTTCAATTAGGGCTAACTTTAGTAGCTAATGAGAACACATAAACCTCTAACATGGGGTCAGTGACCTGGAGCCACAAATGGCAGAAACAGCCCAGCTTATTTATTTAGAAAACAATCTTTTGTATAGCACCTCTTAAGGTAAAAATCACGAGGCGCTTCACACAAAACAATTTTTTATTATAAGAAAGATTTCAAAAAAGGATTAAAAATATGTTTAAAATGAGAAGAAATAAGAAATAAAAATTGTGATAGAAAAATGTAAGGAAAGGGAGATAGAACATGAATTGGAGAGAAGAAATCAGGGGATCTCGGAAAAGGCAGAACAAGGAGAGGGTGATTAAGGTCACACCAAAACCAGCTTGAACAAGTGAGTCTTCAGCTGCTTTTTAAAGGAGACCACTGAGTCCACTGATCCCAGGCTCAGGGGGAGAGCGGTCCAGAGTCTGGGGCCACAGCAGCAAATTATCTATCACCTTTGACCTTTTAGCCTGGTGCTGCACAACCAGTAGGCTTTGATCACTGGACCTCAGGGACCTGCTGGGGGTGTAGGAACTAAGAAGATCACCAACGTAAGATGGTGCTTGTCCATGTAAGGCCCTATAGACCAGAACCAGGATCTTGAAATGAATCCTGAAGTTGACTGGCAGCCAGTGAAGCTGGAGGAGAAGCGGGGTGATGTGGGTGTGTTTGGAGGACTTGGTCAGAAGCCGAGCACAGGTATTCTGAACAGGGAGGTTCTGCTCAGACACGTGAAAAGAGAGTTACAGTAGTCTAAGCGTGAGGAGATGAAGGTGTGGATAACTGTCTCAAGTTCAGAGTGGGACAGAATGGGACTCAGCTTAGCAATGTTCCTGAGATGGAAGAAGGAAGAGTGAACAAGAGAACTGACATGAGAATCCAGGGTGAGAGCTGGGTCAAAGGTCACATCAAGATTCCTGATGGGGGGGTTAGTGTGAGAAGCAAGCTGACCAAGAGCGTCTCAAGGGATCTCAGATGCACCTGTTTCCACATGGGGAATTCAGCCGGAGAAGAAATTAGCTTCAGACGACTGGATTTGGAGTTTTATTCTCTGAAATTTGGACGTCTTGCCTCTGATTGGATAACAGCCACATGACTACCACTGACTTTGTTTGCTCTGCAACATTGATGTTTTATCTCTACAAGTAACACAAGTCTGGAGGAGTTCTGCTGTGTGGTGGAGTTGCTAATGCTAACAGTTAGCTTCTAGCAATGCAGGAGATAGGTGTAGAAGACTATTTTCACAATCAGCCTGCATGAAAAACTCAGTGATCAATCATTTTAAAAAAATGATAAGTAAAAATGGTTTTTCAGTGAAAGACCTTTTTAAAGAGCAAATTGCAGGTTCGAGACCCCCATGAACCAATGTTTAGAGTGACATAATACAAACTCGTTTTAAACATTTTTTTACACATACATAAAAAAATCACTGGGTAACTGTTAAATGCAAAAACATCTGAAGTAATTGTCCAGAAAATGTAAAATTGTGTTCAGATATTGTCTAATTTCTAATCTGTATATCCCGGTGTCATTGTAATGCTCTCAAGCTTGATTTATGCTTGACGCATTCACTTTCCGCTTGTTGATGCGGCTTGCGGATGGAACACACTTCACAACTCGCAGCGTTTATGGTTCATGCGGCTTGTCTCTGCGGTGAGCCAATATTCTCCCAAACTGTAGGGGGCAGCATGAAGCTCTACAGCATGCATCACACACTACACCATAGAAGTAGAAATTACTGTTTACAACACGGCATTCCAGCATTTTTAATAGCGTCCTCGTCTTTTCCGACAGTGCGAGCTATTTCTCTCCAAGAATTATTAACATGTTGATCACGGTGATCTCTGAGAGCTGAATCATACAAATGTCTGTATTTACGAACCTTTGCCATACTAGTTCTTGCCGGTCCGCCATGTTTTTCCGCGTCCGACCGTCCGCGTGGTTAGAAATTTTCCTAGGTGCGCGTTGCGGAAATTTTGGGCCGTGCGGAGATGCGGTGGAGGGGCGTGGTTGTTAAAATGACGCAATGTCGCCGCGCGGACCTCGCGGACGCATCAAGCATAAACCAACCTTAAGGCAGGCGGGTGCCCATTCCTTGTCCTCCAGGGCCGGTATAGTTTAACTCTGTTTCATCACACCTGACTTCAATCAGCAGGTGAGTAATGCCTTTTTTCAGGGTGCAACAAGACTGTTTTTCAGCCCTCTTGGGCCATTCCCATCTGTACCTGGTCGGCCCTGCCCAGATAGCTCCAGTCGGCCCCAGCCTGGCTCGGTTGATTCCACACATCCTTGCTTAGGTATGCAAGGAATGCAGTGAGAGACATTTTCAGCTTCTAGGTAATCAGCATGATAATGAATGATAATGATTTGAGCATGCCTTAAGCCCATGTGGGTTGATTCTATCCACCAATCAAAGGCTTGCTCTAATGGAAGGTGTGAATTTGCTGACTGATGAGCCGGCTTACCACCAGTGGGTGGGCAGTGGGTGTGTTGGCCCTGGTCAGCCTGAAGCAGACCACCTCAGAAAGAGGGCTGAAAAACAGTCTCGTTGTATCCTGAAAAACGTCAGGCCGCCAAGATATGTAAGCAAGGTATGCTATCCCGGCCGACCAGGTACAGATGGGAATGGCCCATTTCTGAGGTGGTCTGCTTCAGGCTGACCAGGGCCAACACACCCACTGCTGACTGATAAGCTGGTCAGCAAATTCACACCTTCCATTAGAGCAAGCCTGTGATCGGTGGGAAGAATCAACCCACATGGGCTTAAGGCATGCTTAATTCATTATCATTCATTATCATGCTGATTACTTAGAAGCTGAAAATGTCTATGACTGCATTTCTTGCATACCTAAGCAAGGATGTGTGGAATCAACCGAGCCAGACTGGGGCCGACCAGGTACAGATGGGAATGGCCCATTTAATACCTAACCGTGTCTGAACCTGTTTACATGCCTTAACTGTCATTGTAACATTGTTTATACATAAAATCAGTATTGTGGTTTTATCAAGGTAAACAAAATGTTTCTAACTCCTTTCTGTCTTTTTGTGGTTGTGGGTTTGAATCCCACTGCTGCCTTCATTACCTGCATCGCCCTTTGAATGACCTGCTTGTTATCAAATGTTTTTATTTTAACTTTGACTGCAGGACAGATACAATTTTCCTTACTCTGTGCTACTGGTGTCACCATCTACTGTTCCCCAGAAACACGAACAAGGAGAAACCAAAGTTATTACAAGATGCTGCAAATAATAATATTAAAAATCTCTCAAGATATTATTTACTTACTAACTTATTTAAATGAACCAGAAACTAAGTTCACACCCTGAACAATAAAATCAAACCTACATTTGTGGTAAGAACTCCACAAATACAGCTCTTTAATCCCCTTGACACTTGCAGGCTTGTGGGCCGGGTCATGCTGATGGATCAGGACACTGAGTGGCTGTACCAGCTTCTGGCCGAGGTCCAGCTGGAGAAGTTCTACGTACGCATCCGAGATGGCCTCAACATCACCCGTGTCGAGCACTTCTCCTACGTCAAGGAGTGCGACTTTGAGCAGATCGGCATCAGCAAACCGGGTAAGCTTCAATAAATACCGGTACACGCTCACAGGAACTGCAAAGGCCTCTTCTCCAGATCGCAGATCAGCGATTTCCAAAACTGTTTGACTAAATCATCTTCGAGTTTCATTTTAATGGCTTTTGTGAGCCGCTTTAGTTTACTAGTTCAGGGACTTATATTTTTAAATACCTAGTTCGGTTGTTCAGGAGCTCTTTAAAGCTCCACTGAGACAGAAATGTCTCTTCTAGGTTTCTTTTTATTTTCATGTTCCATGTGTAGGCTACAGACATCATATTTTACTGGAAATTTTAAAACTACACATAGGGAAGCCTCACTTGACTAAAACTTCATTATTAAATACTATATCGGCTTTTTTTTTACCAGTATAGTCTATTAGACCTGATACGATATAAGCTGATGCCGATATCTGTAGCGCCCGGCTTCATGAAAAAACATAATTTACAGTAACTTAACATCATAAACATGCTATAAGACACCCTTAAACTTTAAACATGATCTGTGCAAAAATTAGGCTGTATAATGAAATGACTTGTTACCTGTTCTAGGTACTTACAGAGGTACAAATGTACTTATGTGTACACTTGTCTCATTCGATGTGTTGTCTTTATCTTCATGACCATTTTCATTGGGAGATTCTCACTGAAGGCATCAAAAGTATGAATGAACACATGAGGAGTTATGTACTCAACCCAAAAAGGTGAAATAAATAAAACCATGTTTTTGATTCCATTTTCTTCAAAACAGCCACCCTTTGCTCTGATTACTGCTTTTTACACTCTTGGCATTCTCTTGATGAGCTTCCAGAGGAAGTCACCTGAAACGGTTTTCCAGCAGTCTTGAAGGAGTTCCCAGAGGTGTTTAGCACTTGTTGGTGCCTTTGTAAATGGCTATGAAAATAAAGAAAACGCATGGAATGAGAAGGTGTGTCCAAACATTTGGCCTGTATTGTACATGGTTATTACCTGTTTGGTTCCCTGTATGTACTCCTATACTTACCGAGTACTTAACCTGTACATACGTACCAGGTAAGCATCTTGTAATACTATATACCTCATAAGTACCAAAATGTACCCCCATAAACATCCATGTTTAGTACTTTTTATACCCTAAAAAGTACCTGGTACAAGGTCATACCAGATATATTTATCGTCACAGCTAAAACACTGACTTTCAGTTTGTGGGAAAGGTGTGTGTTCGTCGTCAGATCCGACTCTATAAATGTAGACAGTTGCTTTCAGTGGGTTTTATACACGTCGCTTTTAAGTGTGTGATTTACGCTTGTCCTCAAAAGGTTGGGCTCTCTTAAAAATGTAGATTTACACATTTTCACACAATTCACAATCAGTGGTGTCCAATTCACAAACGACTTGGTAAACTTCACATTAACGTTACATTATGCCCCCCTGCCTTTAATGCTACTCGTAAACACAGCTAATTTTAGGGTGCAATATTGTGCTTTATCTCTGCATTATGAATATTCACAACTATCAAAGGGGTTTCTTATTGTAAAGGGTAAAACTGGCTTTTAGACGTGTTCATTAGTCATAATAAATATTGTCATGTTTTAACCTCAACTATAAGACTTCCTTTAATAATTGTTAGGATTCATAATGCAGCCATAAAGTACAATATTGTAAGTAAAAAATGCTCTCTGGGTTTACAAGGTGGTAACTAAGTCTGAACTCTACATGAGTCACTTTTGACTAAGGACTATTGGATCAATATTTGCCAAGAAACCCGTCAATTTTGGCCCAGTCCCAATAACCGCGCTGCAGCCTACAGTCCTCTGAAGTGCACTTAGTGGAAGTGCACTTAATGGAAGTGCATGTAAGGCTTTGAGGGTGTAGTAAGCAGGTGTGCAAATAACTGCAGAATTGGGACAGTGAGCATTGTCATCTACCACGACTTCGTAAGCCGGGATGCCTGTCGCTGTTGAGCTACTTTGCTGCTTGAAATGGTATTAAAACAGAATGTTTACTTAATGGCTGGCGTATCATGTCCGTAAATACACATCGGTACTGTCGTCAGTATTTTTCAACAGATATGCAACGCAACTTTCCAACTGCTGAATTTGACGATAAGTTCCCACGCAGCAATGGATTGTGGGTAATACCCTTGACCAAAGTCTGCACCAATGTGGGTTTCGGATAAGTGCAGATCAAGGGTGCAAAAGGGGTGGAGCCAAGGCCTACTCCCTACGCAACTGCCCTTACTTAAAGTGTAATAAACACTTATTTATGAAGTGTTTACAAATTAATGAATGTTATATCTATAAACTATTAATACGCTAATGAAATTATTTTACAGAGATCTCAGTTTTGACATACCAGGCGTTTGGAACATTTTCATGTTTGTTTTTAATTTCACACACAAAAAAAAGATTCTAATCAAGCATGAAATTAGTTAAATGCTATATGTGACGACTGATCCTACAACAGTCTGTTTATTGTTATAGACACAAATATTTCTAATGGGTGTTTAGAGCGAAGAGCTACTCCAGGCTTTTATTAATGGTTAAAGTTTATTCTGGACTTGTCCTGGTCCGCTGATCCGTGTTTTGTTTTACGACTTTGGTTCCTATAAACGAACCGTTTCGTCACATGCTGGCTGTCAGAAGTAAGCCTTCACCTTTAACCCCTACACCTGTTGCCTCTGTGCCAAGAAAATACACGTTTAAAGTTACAAATGATTAAGGATAAAACCTAAAATGTCTCAGTTTTATTAGTTTTTCTGTTGTTTTTCAGCACAAAGACGATTATTGGAGGCACTGAAACGGTACAAGACACGCGCACGATCGTGGATGCCCAAGGTCTGGACATGTCAGATGTTGGAGAAGTTGTGTTATTAGCTCAAACAGGGAGCTTTTATGAGTTTATTCATACACACAGGTGTTTAAAGGTCCCGATGGAGGGGAGGCCGGAGGTGGCCCGGTTCAGAACCTGGAGGTCGTCAGCCGGACTCTGCCTTGTCTGATCCAGGATAGTGAGCTGGCTTTAGGGGACAAGTTGGGCTCGGGGTCCTTTGGGGTGGTGAGGAGGGGGGAGTGGCACCCTCCCTCAGGGAGAGTGGTAAGTTTCTGGTCAAATATCTGTAATTGAATGTGCTAAAAAAAATAAAGGAACACATGGATATCCGTCCTGGATACGTCTGATTCCCCACTTTAATTTGTGGTTCCCTCTCAGGTTCCCGTAGCGGTGAAATCCCTGAGGAACAGCGTGTCGAGACATACGAACACACTGACAGACTTTCTCCAGGAAGTGACCATCATGCAGTCCTTAGACCACCCCAACATCATCCGACTCTATGGCGTGGTACTCACTCAGCCCCTCAAAATGGTTAGAGGATATTTTATCAACAAATGTTTTAAATGTTCTCTTTCCCAACCCAAACTTCACTATTTTTCTTTCCTCCAGGTGACAGAGCTGGCCCTTTTTGGCTCTCTGTATGACACCCTGCGAGCGCGTCAGTACAGGTTCCCGTTGCTGCGCCTCTGGCTCTTTGCCACCCAGATCGCGGTGGGTATGGAGTACCTGGAGAGCCGGAGGTTCATCCACAGGGACCTGGCAGCCAGGAACGTGCTGCTGTCCTCCAGGGAGATGGTGAAGATCGGGGACTTTGGCCTGATGCGAGGCCTGACCCAAGACAGAGACCATTATGTCATGGGAGCACATAAGAGGATCCCTTTTGCTTGGTTAGAAAAGGAGAACGTGTTTTAAATGTGAAGGAATGAAAAATGCTGATTTTTATTAGAATCTCGGGTTTTTTGTGGTTTCGCCTTTAATCCTCCAGGTGTGCTCCAGAAAGCCTCCGCTCAGGCTCCTTCTCCCACTCCTCGGACGTCTGGATGTTTGGCGTCACCATGTGGGAGATGTTTACGTACTGTGATGAACCGTGGCTGGGTCTGGCAGGTCAACAGGTACCGACATGCCTCCTTCTGAACATTCTTTGTGTGGGGCTATTTTTGTGTGTGGAGCACGTTTCGTTCCCTGCCCTTTCACTCCTTCGTGACTCAGAGTTTGGTGTCACGCAACTTCTTTTTTTTTTGCTGTCAGATTTTGTGGCGTGTGGAACAGGAGGGGGTGCGGCTTGAGAAACCCCAGGATTGCCCTCAAGAGCTGTACATTGTCATGAGGAGCTGCTGGGCCCTAAACCGGTCGGACAGGCCCACCTTCGCCCAGCTCACGAAAATGACTGCTGAGGTTTGAAATTATGTGAAATCTGGAATTATTTTTTTATTCCGGCTTGGAGGTCCATATCTTTCCATATACACTGTTTTTGTTTATTTTGAAGGCTAGACCAGTAGAAGTTCAAGCTACAAGAGACTTTTCAGAGTCCAACAAGCTCCCCCTCTTGGCCAGCGACGTTGTGACGGTCGTAGACCACAGGTAGGTAGGTAGGTGGGTGGGTGGGTGGGTGGGTGGGTGACGGGGATCAGGGAGGGAGTAAAAGAGGGGTAAAGACGAAAATGTTCACCTGGGACAATCAGCCTTTTGTTCAGATTAGTTGGTGGTTTGATCCAAAGTGCATTCCATTCGTAATCTCTCCAGGTCCATGAGTGCAGTTTGCTTTGTTGGTTCTACTGGTTTAGCAGCTTTTATTTGACCAAATACATTTGCAGTTGGAACAAAATCCGCTTGGTTACCTCTAGTAAGTCTTTTTTTCTGCGTTGAGGTTTTAAACGGTATCTTATCTGCTGTAGATAGCTCTTTGAACAACCTTAGTTTGGAAAAATAGTTTCATTCTGAAATGATTGATAAGCTAACAGCTAGACTAAGTAAAGTCAGTTCCAAAGCAAATGTATGTTATAAACTCAATCATGTCATTATGGCTCACACACAAACGTTTATTTGTTGTTCTGTTCTTATTCTGGCTAAACTCTGCTAGCTGGCTAGCTAGCTGCTGCCACTGCTAAGCGTAATTTGAATTGACCTAAGAATTAAACATGTGTAACAGAGTTATGCATGAATAAATAGTTTCTTTCCTGCTGCAGACACCTTTTATGGGATGTACATAGTTAACCAGTTACAGTGGGGCAAACAAGTATTTAGTCAGCCACCGATTGTGCAAGTTCTCCCACTTAAAATGATGACAGAGGTCAGTAATTTACATCATAGGTACACTTCAACTGTGAGAGACAGAATGTGAAAAAAAATCCATGAATTCACATGGCAGGATTTTTAAAGAATTTATTTGTAAATCAGGGTGGAAAATAAGTATTTGGTCAATAACAAAAATTCAACTCAATACTTTGTAACATAACCTTTGTTGGCAATAACAGAGGTCAAACGATTACTATAGGTCTTTACCAGGTTTGCACACACAGTAGCTGGTATTTTGGCCCATTCCTCCTTGCAGATCTCTAGCATAGATCTCGAGAGCAGTGATGTTTTGGGGCTGTCGCCGAGGAACACGGACTTTCAACTCCCTCCACAGATTTTCTATGGGGTTGAGGTCTGGAGACTGGCTAGGCCACTCCAGGACTTTCAAATGCTTCTTACGGAGCCACTCCTTTGTTGCCCGGGTGATGTGTTTGGGATCATTGTCGTGTTGGAAGACCCAGCCATGTTTCATCTTCAAAGCTCTCACTGATGGAAGGAGGTTTTGGCTCAGAATCTCACGATACATGGCCCCATTCATTCTGTCCTTAACACGGATCAGTCGTCCTGTCCCCTTAGCAGAAAAACAGCCCCAAAGCATGATGTTCCCACCCCCATGCTTCACAGTAGGTATGGGTTCTTGGGATGCAACTCAGTATTCTTCTTCCTCCAAACACGACGAGTTGAGTTTATACCAAAAAGTTCTACTTTGGTTTCATCTGACCACATGACATTCTCCCAATCCTCTGCTGTATCATCCTTGTGCTCTCTGGCAAACTTCAGACGGGCCTGGACATGCACTGGCTTCAGCAGCGGAACACGTCTGGCACTGCAGGATTTGATTCCCTGCCGTTGTAGTGTGTTACTGATGGTGACCTTTGTTACTGTGGTCCCAGCTCTCTGCAGGTCATTCACCAGGTCCCCCCGTGTGGTTCTGGGATTCTTGCTCACCGTTCTCATGATCATTTTGACCCCACGGGATGAGATCTTGCGTGGAGCCCCAGATCGAGGGAGATTATCAGTGGTCTTGTATGTCTTCCATTTTCTGATAATTGCTCCCACAGTTGATTTTTTTCACACCAAGCTGCTTGCCTATTGTAGATTCACTCTTCCCAGTCTGGTGCAGGTCTACAATTCTTTTCCTGGTGTCCTTCCAAAGCTCTTTGGTCTTGGCCATAGTGGAGTTTGGAGTCTGACTGTTTGAGGCTGTGGACAGGTGTCTTTTATGCAGATAATGAGTTCAAACAGGTGCCATTAATACAGGTAACGAGTGGAGGACAGAAAAACTTCTTAAAGAAGACGCTACAGGTCTGTGAGAGCCAGAGATTTTCCTTGTTTGAAGTGACCAAATACTTATTTTCCACCCTGGTTTACAAATAAATTCTTTAAAAATCCTGCCATGTGAATTCATGGATTTTTTTTCACATTCTGTCTCTCACAGTTGAAGTGTACCTATGATGAAAATTACTGACCTCTGTCATCATTTTAAGTGGGAGAACTTGCACAATCGGTGGCTGACTAAATACTTTTCTGCCCCACTGTAATTGCCGTTAATGTTGAAACGGGGTTAAATATTTTTTTTTATTTCCGGTTAACCGTCTGTTAACCATTAAGGGGCGTCGATAGCCGGTTATAGAAATTTTGGAAAACGTGCATCCCTACCTTTTAGAATTACCTCAGTTTTGCAAAGTGCAGATTACATCTAACTGAATAGAAAGGTTAGAGCTACAATGACAAATTTGAAAAACAAATTAGCTTTTAATATTTGTTTTCATGCCCCTTAACAATGTTATAGCATATTATGGCTAAAAAATGAATAAAAAGCTCTGCCAAAAACACGTTTGGGACCGAAATCAAACTTTGGATCATCCAGTTGTTGCTCTCACTGAACCCCACATTTCCGCTCTTCCCTGGGTCCTCCACTCATTACATGCTAGCATATTTAGCAGCAGAACACCACTGGTGTGAGAGGTTCTCCACTCAATAATACCAGAGAAGAGGAAACAGCCGGCAGCTACCGCTTTAACTTTAGGACAAGTTCCCATCAAAACAAACACCATTAGTAGTTACAGACAACTAAAGACATTTTGGACTTAGAAAAAGGCAACTGGCGTTAAGCGCTATCCAGTTTCCTCTTGAAATGTTGGTTTCCAGTTCCGGGAGAAGCAGGGAAGATACTCGAGGGGTGGGGTGAGTGTTTCCATTCAAAACCTAGCTTGTTCTGCATGAATGAATAAGTTTTATGTAAGTGTCATGCACGACATGTCCCCAGCCCATATGGGCGAATAAGACTCTATTAAACATAAAGAAGTGGCTATACATTTACAAAACCATCATATTTACACAACAGGATAAAGGACCATTTGTCTGTTTCCATGCTCTCTCTATAACATTTGCTAACTTGAAAATGTCTGTGTCATAAAGCCAGATTAGCATTTCAACATCTGATAACCAAAACAAACCAGGATATTTACTCTGAAGCTTTTCAAACAGGGGCATTCTTAAACCGTATAGTAAAACAATAAAACAGGAAATGAAACTCATCCTCAAGAACATCTAAGTCACATGACACACACAAACGTAAACCTGCCAAAGCAGCCTTAAGGGCTTTGCTTTGTTTTGTTAGTTTGTTCCGTTTCTCATACAAACTGTGTCCACGCTCGCTCCTCTCATGTTATCACTGCCTCTACAGATGTTGCCACTGTTTTTGCTTTGAAATCAGCTACCTGCGAGTCCACTGGTGTTGATGGTTTACTGCTTCATTTCAGTACTTCCTGCCTGGCTGCTATCGACCCTTTGCACTTGACGTCACGCCACTCATGTGACCGCCCCCTTCGCCATGATGGACGGCAAAAAGACCGTTTACACCCGTAGAAACTCCAGTGAAGGTAGTCAAAACAAGCCAGTTTGTAGCCTTTTATGGCTTTTATTGAGTTGATTTGACAGTAAAATGGTTTTAGCTTGCTGCGTGGTCGGCTGCACTGAGACAAGGACGTAAACTCAACTCGTTTTTTCTTTTTAATAACTTTGATGGAGACTGAGGACGGAGATGAACTGCAGCGATCAATCAAGCGGGCTAGCAGGCCTCAGATTTGCAGCGAACGTGTTTTTACCGGGTAAGATTAACGTTCATTTATTTCACGAGGAAGACAGGGACAGGGATAAATGTGATGTGTTTATACAAGTTATTGATAATCCTGATGGATGGTATTTCACCACGGAGGCTGCGCTCCGTCCACTGTAGTGTAAAGCGAGACAATTATTAACAATATTGAAGCTCCGATGTATGATTACGTGTGTTAAATTGACGTTATTTATTTATATGAGCGTCGGCGTTCAGAGATCTTCTCATTCGGGTGTGAGAGCAGCAGCTGAACCCGGTAACACCACCAGCAACAGAAGCTGGTAGAGATCGGGACGTTTTAACAATCAGCTTTGGTGTAAAGTGAAACGCTGTTTATAACATAAAGTTATAAATCCAGAGGGGTGAATTTAGGCAAAGTCAGCAACATGTTTACATCGGTGAACAGCTGCAGAGAGAACGTAAGCTAACGTTGGTAAGCTAGTTAGCATACCGCTCTCTATGAGCCCCCGCTAGATGCGCTACTTCTTCTGATAACTGAACTGGGCATGAACTAGTTGAAGGAATGCTGGAGGAGTTTTTTTTTTTGTTTTGATCGCAAAAACAATTTCAGGCTCTACTTTTCCCTTTGTTTAGTAATCGTGTCGCTCACTGTTTACATGCTTTTACCGTCCAGCATGGTGGATCCACGTGATTAGGTGACGTCGGTGCAACAGGTCAATAGGGAGTCTAATGGGCCATTCCCATCTGTACCTGGTCGGCCCGGCCGGGATAGCATAGCTTGTTTACATATCTTGGTGGCCTGCCTTTTTTCAGGGTGCAACAAGACTGTTTTTCAGCCCTCTTTCTGAGGTGGTCTGCTTCAGGCTGATCAGGGCCAACACACCCACTGCTGACAGCAAATTCACACCTTCCATTAGAGGAAGCCTCTGATTGGTGGGTAGAATCAGCCCACATGGGCTTAAAGAGCAAGTCACCCCCTACAAGAAACTTACTCCACTCCCACTTCATGTTTGAAAAATGCAACAAATGCTGTTGCTTGGCAGACCGAGAGGGCGGAGCCGCTAACAAATACACACACACACAGGCTCACGACAGCATTGTGACATCATAATGTACCAGATGACATCATAGCATACCTCTTAGCCAATAGCGGTGGCAGATTTAAATTCAAATATAGTGCATAATTTCTCCCTGATGACGGCACAACACTGACAGTTTTAGACAGAATATTTGAATTTTAACCAAAATGCACTGAAGTGCCAAATTATTGACAACACGTGTCTGCAGCACGATTAGACACTCGTTTATTTAGTTTATCAGCAAAAAAAATGTGATTTGGGGGTGACTTGCTCTTTAAGGCATGCTTAAATCATCATCATTCATTATCATGCTGATTACCTAGAAGCCGAAAATGTCTCTTGACTGCATTCCTTGTGTAGCGTGTTTAACTTCATACTAGAATCAACACTGTTTGCTATCAGCTTTGTTAGAATCTGAGAAAAAACCCAAACAAGTTTACAATGAAGCTTCTATCATATATAAATATCTAGGATATCTAGGATATATATTAGACCAAGCACGTTCATATGCCAACTTGCTTGGTCTAATTTTAATCCAAAGATTAATGTTTAATTTAAGATAATTAAATTTAATTGCAAAAGTTTATTTATTTAATCAGAATTTTAAAGGAATCTTTGCTTTTTCAATAACCAGAAATACACACCATTCTGTGTTCCATTTCAAGAAGAGTCAAGTTTTTAAAGTTGAGAATTTATCACTAACACTTTTTAAAAATGACAATTTGAAATGACAATTTAGAAATGACCATTTTTAACAGACAATTTGATATTAAACTTGTTTCAAAGGCAAACCTGTGACTGAATGAAAGCTAAAATGAAAATGCGAGTTTTTTTGGATGCGTGAATGAATATCAGAAGGTTTTTTTCAGAGAGAGAAGCGTTTCTGAGTGGAAAGTTGTTTTGCAGCTAACTGAGTTGTTATTAGAAGAAACGGCATACAGACACAATCTGTCAAAGTGTCTACCTCACCCAGTATCAGGAGACCTTCTTCTGGATCCGAGATGTCAGGTGGAGATGGTTTCCTCCAGGCACGAGGTTGGTAGAAGGACCTTAGTGCAACCAAATCGGTCCTGAGATGTCTCCTTGGGTCACTCGACTGGTGGAACTATTTCCATCTCAAAATCAATAACTCTGAAGGAGTTTTGCGTCAGCTGCAAACAGGTGCGTTTATTCGGAGCAAGTCTATCGGCGTGACGGAATGCTTAGTAGAGACTCGGGCGGCCGTCCCTTGTCTCTGGCTTACAGCTGCGGGATTTTTGGTTTTAACAAAAACCCTCGTAACACGCCCTCTCAGCATCAGAAAGCTTGGTCATGAAGTAAAGACGTGATGGTTTTACCCTTTACCCTGGATCACTTCTGAATGAGGCTGGTTAAACGCAAGATGACCTTCTGGTTTACTGAACACACATTAGGATTATCAACAATAATCATTATACCCGAAGCATAATAAGTCATTTCAGTAATTAAAATACATTTATACTAAACCAAGGGATTATTTATGTTGGTTGTAATAACAGTAATAAAGTCAAGAGATTATTAAAATTATTATTTAAAGTTATTATTATTGTGAAACTTGAAGTGTCTTTCATCTTGGGACGGAACAGCAGCAGATAAAGATGATATTCAGCAGACATCATGGCTCCTGGCGGTTAATCTGTGGGGCAAAGTTACAGTCGACCCAGCTTGACCCAGCTGGGAAAATGTGACCTTTGTCACAAATTCGAGGCCATTCATGACGCTACACTTGCATACCTAAGCAAGGATGTGTGGAATCAACCGGGCCAGGCTGGGGCCGACCAGGTACAGATGGGAATGGCCCATTTAATACCTAACCATGTCGGAACCTGTTTACATGCCTTAACTGTCATTGTAACATTGTTTATACATAAAATCAGTATTACGGTCGGCCCTGCCGGATAGCTCCAGTCAGCCCCAGCCTGCCCCGATTAAACCGTGAGCAAGAAATTTGATTTCTGGTGGAGTCTTGGGCCATTTTCAGTTACACAATACAGTTTAGTAGTCCACAAATATTCTTTTTTTTTTTTTAACCGTGTCCTGTCTGGCTGTGAAGCAAACAGAATTGTTGACTGAATGCTGGTAACAAGCCTTACAGATTTACTCTCAGGTGGAGCATCAAAGCGTTTGCTTTTAATGTCACGCCTGATACTTAAAACTTTATTGTTGTTGGTTTTGAATGCTTTGTAATTCCGACCAGACACGGAGTCAGAGGTGAAAGAGAAAAAAGACAAAGGGTGGGGAGAGAGGGGGGAAGGGGGGAGGGGGGGGGGGGGGGGGGTTCCACAAAAATAAACAATAATAACAAGAGTCTGCTTCTAGACCTGCAGAAAGAGAAGAGCAGAAAAAAATGGGACACACAACAATACATCAGGAGCAAGCTATTACTGCGTCAACCTGATGGTGAAATATAAAATCAACATTGTTTAACTGAACAATCACATGATAATAAATCATAGTGCATATAGTGGCAACGACAGCCTTGAGACATGTGTTGAACGTGCCCAAGCCCATACTTTTGAGAGCACCATGTGAGCACCTGTGTGTGTACACGCGCTTGTTTATGTAAGGTTTCTCTATAGGAGCGTCCAATAGAGAGTGTGAGGGACCACAGATCTGCCCCCCAAAGATGTGTAGGAGACAGGGGGAGCTCCAAGTCTCAGAGATCCAGGCACTGCCCCAGAACACAGGAACCCCAAGGAGACTGCAACCAGAAAGGCCCCCGCCCCCCTCAAGAGGCACAGAGGATCGCCCCGGGGGGCCACAACCAGCAGCCGGCAGAGTCCCAGGAGATATCAGTGGCAAGCCCACAGGCCCGTCCACAGCCTCCCAACCCCTAGCCAGCCGAGCCTGGGACCCAGCGACCCGGGACCCAGGGGCGACCACCCCCACCGGGGACCCAGGAGAGCCCAGGGACCCAGACCCCACCAGGCAGCCACTGGGATTGATCAGGCAGATGCCAAAGATGTTAAACCCCCTGACCCAGGAGCCACAAACACTCAGGCAGACCAAGGCACCACACCCCACACCAGGTGTGGTAGGGGGAGGGGAGACGAAGATCTGTATCATCAAAAGAAGTCCCAGGAGCAGAGAGGAGTCAAAGGCCCCACCTGACATATACAGTCATACACAAACACAGTCACACACTCCCTCCCTCATGCTCACACATGCACATACAACCAAAGACTTACAAAAATGCACGCAGGACACCCACTCATGCTCCCCATACACACCCTATTCACTCTGGTCCCGGTACTGCTGCACATTGGGTACAACATCACCGGTAACCAGAGTTTGACCCTTTCTGCTGGGGTGCTGATGAGCAGGCTCCCCCGCCCAACGCTGAGCACAGCAACCCACCACCCCAGACCCCAACCAGACGGCCAGATCTCCCTCAAATATTCTGGCACAAGTATTAAACCCCAACCAGTTAAATGATGATTATTTCAGTCTCGTGTGGTTTTGTTCCCCTTGTTTTGCCGCAGTCTGGAGATGAATGAGTGGGTCGGTCAGAACCAGAGGACGCTGGTCGTCGGCTTGTTTCCTGCCAGTCTCACTGTGCCCATCGGGTCCACCGGTGCAGGGTCAAATCCCTCTGTGAATGCTGCGGTCATCTCCGCTCCGGTGAAGGGCAGTCTCCAGCACACGGGACACGGAGACGCCCACCCAGACCGCAGCTGGGGAACACCGGAGAGACTGGATGAGTCAGTGAATCTCTTCATAAAATTACGTTTTTTTTTTCCTGTTTGCTCTCAGTTTATGTAGCTGCTGCAAACTGTTATATTAAAATGTATACAGTGATGAAAAATGTGTTTTCTAGAGAAACTTTTAAACAGAGTTGCACTTTATTTATTTTTTGTTTTTATTTTATTTATTTTTTTTACCGCTGAGCTTTTTTTTGCACAGTGCAACATTGCAGTGATTTTTCACCTGTGCATGTTTGGTGATGGTTTAACCTTTTTGACTGTTGTGACGTTTGCAGCAGCAGCAACTGGAGGCAGGTTCCTGTCAGGGAAAAGGAAGGGTCCAATCTGCAGAAAATGGCAGGTAGGAACTAAAATAAAATCAGCTGCAAATGCTGGTGAGCATTTCGGCTTTTTTGTGTGATCTGAGTGTAACACTTTATTCTTTTAAGGTTCTAAGTTGTGGTTTTATAGTTGTAAAACTGGAATATTTTGACTGCACCCTTGTAGGAGTCAAGCTAACTGCTAATCGGACTATTCCAAAATAGATTTTTACTTTTAAACTACTTAATTTCATTTCATAACTATTCAAGCCAATGCTTTAGCATCACATATTTACTCTGTCTGGGTGTGCTAAACACGGTGCCTTTATAAGATTATTCCAGCAGGACATGTTTCAGCATGGGCTGTCTTCAGGGTGAATTACCATCAAGGTCTAAGGAAACAGAAACTTTAAGATGTAATGATATATATATTTTTTTACATTTGACTTTATCAATGATTTCTGCAAAAAAAAATATTCTGAGGGTGGCAAATGGGAAGTCAAGTAATCCAAGCTAACTATTTAATTATTGATTTCTTTTTCATGGACATCACTTGTGATCCTCAACCTTAAGAGCCTTCAAAATTTTAAACATTCATAGCATTTGCCGTTTGATTTATTTAATACTAAAAAGCTACATAATGTTTGGATTCTCTGCTAATGACCACACGCCACCTGCTGGTTCAATCAGACCATTTCTGCTTCCGTCCGTGGTTCTGCTGTAAATATTTCACTTATTGCATTAAATAAATGTGTCCCCCTGTATTTTCAGGTATGACTCGGAGCCTTGAGTCGGTCTTGGGTGAACCCCGACCCCGCTCCCAGACGGTTGAGGCTTTCAAAGTGGATCAGCATGGCAGACTTGTGGCACCTCACGGCGTGGCGATGCAGCAGGATCCTCGGCGCTTCAGCGAGGCCAGCATCAATCTCCCTCCTCGGCCGCCGCCTCCCAATCTGAAGCACTTCAGCGAGGCCAGCACCAATCCCCCTCTTCGGCCGCCGCCTCCCAATCATAAGCGTTTCAACATGAAAGGCCAGAGAAAACCCATCGTCCAGCAGAGCCCGGGAACCCAGTGGCCTGCACAGATGATCCTATCCCCTCCGGCCCAGACACAACCTCAGCACCTCTTTCCACCTCCTCCAAACCCTTCAGGGTCCAACCTGATGAAAATGGCCCAGCTTGCCCGTTCCACCCCACAGTTGTACGACGACAACAAAGAGAGAGACCAAGAGCGAAGGAGAGATCGGGAGAAATATGCACAAAACCCAAAGGAGAGCCTCATCTCACAGGTAGGATACTGGTTCCTTACAGTGGAGGATGGATTATTCTGTATGAGATCTGCGCTGAGACTACCGCTATGGTTTTCTCAGGTGATGGAGGCTGTACACGGAGTGACTATCGATGAGGTTCAAAGTGCACTTCAGCGTAACGACTGGAACCCTGTACGCGCCGAGCAACAACTCAAGGTCGGAGCACGCAGCAACTGTCAGCACCAGGAATAATATCAAAGTTCTGTTCTCTACCCTAAATCTGGGTTTTAAACCATTATTGTTGATCACTTAGGTGTCTTTTACCCCTTTTCCAAATCTAATCCAGCATTTTTCGGGAGAATCTTTGGGTCTGCTGTTTTTTTAGGTTAACCAGGTTGTTCATCTGGTAATTTAACTGCAAGACATTCATCCCTAATAGTGTGTAGTTTTCTTACAAGGACTAATTAGTTCAATTGAGAGAATACACACTGTCACCATCTTACATTATAACTATTTATACTATCTGTTCATGCTTTCATTGTATCTTTCTCACCTACAACAAATCCAAATTTAAGCTCCATATCTGAAAAACTATTGTTGTTTGTTTCGATAGCCATCTTGAATTAGAAAAACTCCAAGGCCGTGTCCAAATTAGGGGCTAGACCCTACGAAGGCCAATTACGTCATAGCGATGTGACGAAGGCTCCTCCAAATGCATCCCACAAATTCATTCTTATGTTCCCCGCATTTGGACAACGAGTCTGGTGTATTCTTTGTGGCCCACAAGGAGATTTTCTGTCAAGATAGAGGTCAAAGCGAGAGAGGAGTACAGTTGTAACTAAATGATTGTCTGGCGGTACAAAATTCAAAGCTTCAAGTGGTTGTGTTGTTGGGCTTTTGTCATTTGCATAGTCTTTTTTTAATACCGCCCTCTCTTACGGTGCCAACATGACAACAATAAATAACTTCACCTTTGGAACACTGAACAAAGCAATAGCTAAGGACAATACCCCCACAATAAACATGCGTAAACACCTTAAATTAGAACAAAATAACTGACAACATGACTACCCACAATGTACCTCACCCGCTGCAGCTTTCACTGTGGGCAGGTTCATTTTTTACACTCAACAAAAATATAATGTGTGATCGTGAGCACCTGTGCTTTGCTGAGGTAATCCATCCCACCTCACAGGTGTGCCACATCAAGATGCTGATCTGACATCATGAGTAGTGCACAGGTGTACCTTATACTGCCCACAGTAAAAGGCCACCCTGGAATGTGCAGTTTTTTGCTTTTATTGGGGGTCTGGGGACTCAGAACCGGTCAGTATCTGGTGTGACCACCATTTGCCTCATGCAGTGCAACACATCTTCTTCGCATAGGGTTTATCAGATTGTCAATTGTGGCCTGTGGAATGTTGGTCCACTCCTCTTCAATGGCTCTGTGAAGTTGATGGATATTAGTGGGAACTGGTACTGTACTGGTGTCGTATACGCCGGTCAAGTGCATCCCAAACATGCTCAACGGGTGACATGTCCGGTGAGTATGCTGGCCATGCAAGAACTGGGACATTTTCAGCTTCCAAGAATTGTGTACAGATCCTTGCAACATGGGGCCGTGCATTATCTTGCTGAAACATGAGGCGATGTTCATGGATGTACGGCACAGCAATGGGCCTCAGGATCTCATCACGGTATTTCTGTGCATTCAAAATGCCATCAATAAAATGCACCTGTGTTCTTCGTCCATAACAGATGCCTGCCCATACCATAACCCCTCCACCACCATGGGCCACTCGATCCACAACATTGACTTCAGCAAAGCGCTCACCCACACAACGCCACACACGCTGTCTGCCATCTTCCCTGAACAATGTAAACCGAGATTCATCTGTGAAGAGAACACCTCTCCAATGTGCCAGACGTCATCGAATGTGAGCATTTGCCCACTCAAGTCTGTTACGGCCATGAGCTGGAGTCAGGTCAAGACCCCGATGAGGACGACGAGCATGCAGTTGAGCTTCCCTGAGTCGGTTTCTGACAGTTTGTGCATAAATTGTTTGGTTATGCAAACCAATTGTTTCAGCAGCTATCTGAGTGGCTGGTCTCAGACGATCTTGGAGGTGAACCTGCTGGATGTGGAGGTCCTGGGCTGATGTAGTTACACGTCGTCTGCGGTTGTGAGGCCGGTTTGATGTACTGCCATATTCTCTGAAACACCTTTGGAGACGGCTTATGGTGGAGAAATGAACATTCAATGCTTGAGCAACAGATCTGGTTGACATTCCTGCTGTCAGCCTGCCAATTGCACCATCAATGCTTGAGGCATCTGTGGCATTTAGCTGTGAGACGAAACTGCACATTCCAGGGTGGCCTTTTATTGTGGGCAGTATAAGGTACACTTGTGCACTACTCATGATGTCGGATCAGCATCTTGATGTGGCACACCTGTGAGGTGGGATGGATGATCTCAGCAAAGCACAGGTGCTCATTATCACACATTTAGACTGATTTGTGAACAATGAGAGAAATGGTAATATTTTGTATCTGGAATGAATTTTAGATCTTTAAGTCCATCTCATGAAAAATCGGAGCAGAAACAAAGGTGTTGCGTTTATATTTTTGTTGAGGGTATAAGTTGCAGTTTTAAGTTGACTGAACACATGCGAATGAGAAAAATATAACACTTTGTTGAAATAACAAGCAATTTTAAGTTTTCAATATCAAAACACATAAAATTGATTTCAACAATCTAAGCTTAACAGGGAGACTTCAGTGAAATAGGAAAGATAAATTGAAACAACTTTTTTCCTTTTTTTATAGTTCAGACCTTTTTTGATGCATACAGCTGTGTGTGGTCTTCTGAAATCACGTGTGGTGTTGCAATTCTCCCGTGATATTTTATGGGATCAGCTGTGTGGAACGTTTTTGCTTCCATTTCATGTTAGAATTCCTCCTGGTTTGGAATGGGCTCACGGGGTAAAACGCCGCTATTACGTTACACAGATATTGGAAAGAAGAGGAAAGGGTCAGGGGCCTCATTTATATAACTTTACATAAAATCTACTGAAATCCAACTTTCGCTCAGCAACAGAAAGGCTTGGGATATGGTGGGCCATGATCGATACTCTAGACCAGAGGTGTCAAACATGTGGCCCGCGGGCCGAATCCGGCCCGGGAGCGGGTTAAATCCGTCCCACGAGATGGTTGTGTAAACTGTATTTTCATTCTTTACAATGTAGAGTGAAAATAAACTCTATAATTTTTCAATTTAAAAAAACTGCTGTTCCCAATATGTCCACTAGATGGTGCAATAGGCATTGTGTTAAGCAAGCAAGCCATTTAATTTAAAAATTTTCTAAGTTAAACATCTCTTTTAACAATGATAGTTTTTACATCTTTACTGTCCCCCTGCTTCAGCCCTCTCTCCTCCCCCTGCTTCAGCCCTCTCCCCCCTCCCCCTGCACAGCGGCTGCAAACTCACTGATGCACCTGCAGCCTCTCAAAGTTCCTGCTGATCTAAACATTAAAATAATTATTTAATTTCCTGTTCCTCACTTCTGATTACCTTCAATGGTGTCTGTTTGTTGCAACCACCAGGTACAAAAACTAACTTGTTTTTATTTGACTATTTTTCTGTCCTGCCTGTTCATTGTCTTCCTGCATCTCCTCTCAATCCTAAAGAAAAACTGCTACCTGGGTTCATATGTATTCACCTCATGAGTTACCTTTGAACTGCAGTTCTAAAAGATCTACCGACCGCAAAAACAGCGGAGTGCTCGCCGGCCACACCGGTGAGGTGCATCACCGGAGGACAAAACAGGTGGTGCGCTCCGCAGCAGCGAAACACATTAGGCACAAATAAAAGACAGAAAACATAAAAGGAAATGAGCCGACATGATCGATCGTGGGTTAAATTTGTTTTTGCGGTGGTGACACCTAAAGCCTGATTTATGCTTCTCTGTCTGCGTCAGTGCGGAGACACGCAACGTCCTTGCGGGCCTGCTGGAGAGCTCCGCAAGGACGGATGGAGTCGAGCTCTCTTTTCTAAACATCCGTCAGTCGAGACGAACAACGCAAGCTTGTGATTGGTCAGGATGCCGCTGTCGTCTACACCGCGGCCATTGTGCCCTCAAAAACATAGAGAGCTGAGGATAACTAGTGGCAGACACGGAGAAGCTTGACGAATACCTCGCGAAAAAACTCAAAAAACATGAATGTTTAATTCCTGTGACTGGAGGAGTGAAATGATTCGCAGCAAGCGTTTTGTTTGTGGACGAAAGTGACAGGAAACGCGGGTTTAGAGGTGGGGAGCGCATGAAGAGGTGGAGAATTAGAGACAAATTTGTCTGTGTTAAAAAGTCTCTTATATACTAAAAACACAATATAAACACACTATCTTGGACCGATACATGACAGGATACCACAGAATAGCGCTCCGCCCTCTGCTGTCCTGGCGGGGAATTGCTTTGCAACACTCTCCAGGAGACGGAGAAGTATGAGAACAAAACGCTTCCGTCAATCCGTGCGTGTCTGTCCCTTGCGGAGCTGATGGAGAAGCATGAACCAGGCTATTTGATAATGTTACTGTGGCTGTGCTCAGGGCGCAGAAGTCTGGAGCGCGTCAATGATCAGAGCTCTGCGCCTCTCAGCTCAAAATAATCCCCAGAGAGTCCACACTGAAAAAGTTGTGTGCGTCCTAACATGTAGTCGACATGAAGCGGTTCAAAGATAAAACAACGGGACTGTTGAGGGAGTTTGAGCCACGCTTTCAGATTTTTGGTGAACTTCACAAGAACTTCCAAATTTTTTGCTCCCCATTCACCGTGAATCCCTCTGATCTCCCCACCAGCATCCAACTTGAAATAATAGATTTACAGAGTTTGGAACTGCTTATCTTTGTGAGCAAGTTTTCTCTGTAAGGAGTATAAATAAAACAAAGCTGTGCTCAAGGCTCACACACAAGAACTTGAGTCACACCCTGAAGTTGGCTGCCACTCTGGATGTGACTCTTGATGTTGATGCTCCGGTGAAAGCTAAAAGATGTGAAGTAAAATGAGTCAAATAAACTTAAAGTGCTGCATGAAACTGATTTAGCCATGTGATCTGTAAGCTCTTTGAGTCACTAAGGAATGTTTATTTTTTCAAATTTTCAAGTACACTTCAGGTGTTTTATTAGTAGTGATGTTGTACTTGTAATATTTTGGATACACTGTCCTCAGGCTCCCGCTTTGTTTTATAGTGATTGTATTAAAACAAAGAAAACATTCTGAAGTTGTTTTTAATTTACCGGTCTGGCCCACTTGGGACTAGATTTTCCTCAATGTGGGCCCTGAGCTAAAATGAGTTTGACACCCCTGCTCTAGACCTATCCTTCAAATCTAGGTGTGATAGGCTGCATTTGGAGGAGCCTGTGAATCAGGACAGCCTTTGTCGCGTCACTTATGGATTTGGCCTTTGTAGAATGTAACACACAGCCCAAACTTAATCAAGCGTAGACGTTCATCCTCTGAAGAGTTTTACCGTGATTGCTGAGATGTTTTCCCTCGACTTCTCTTAAGTTCTCTGGTTTTTTTTTTTTGTTTGTTTTTTGACGGGCCAAAATTTTTTCCCGTTTCTGAGGCTTACCCTTGTGTTTCTATCTCCTCAGCTGGAACAGCTGTATTTACTGAGTCTCTGCTCCAAGGAGGAGTGTTTGAAGATCCTCACCAGACACCAGTGGGACCTTCAGCAGGCCAGCCGCTACCTGATCAGAGTGACTCGAGAAGATCGCACCGGCCCCAGCGACAGACCTCAGATCAGCTCAGAAAGACGAGTCTGATTAAAACCTTTTTTAGCTTGTTGCAAAAAAAAACAAAAAAAAATACATTCTAGTTGAGTGATACACTCCAATGCAGAGCCTCCCAGTACGATGGGAGGTTCACGGAGAATTCACGTTAAAATATGAAGGAATGCGAAAACTGAAAAATATATTTTGACATTTAAAGGACTATGAAATTCCCCTCATATTTTATGGTGCCATTTTGTATGTCATGAGTTTATATATGTGATTTTTTAAACATGTTTAATAAACATGTCAGCCATGAAGCTCTTCACTGTCCTATGTTGTTAATGTGCTTCATCATTATCCCAGTTGTGCCCTCCGCACAGCTGTACCAGCACCAGAGTGAGTAGGGTGTGTATGGGGAGTGTGAGTGGGTGAATGACGTTCATTCCTGTGCATCTTGTAGCTATAATTATGATTATGGTTGATAATTATAACAACAGTAATAAAAGTCAAAAGAGTTTATTTAAATTATTATTTAATTTATTATTGTGAAACGAAGTGTCCTTCTGGGACGGAACAGCAGCAGATAAGGATGATATACAGCCGCCATCATGACTCCTGGATTAATCTGTAGAACCAAAAGTTACAGTCTAAACAAGCTTGACCTAGCTGGGAAAATGTGACCTTTGTCACAAATTAGAGGACCTTTGTGACGCTACGGTCTTTAGGTTGTATGTGTTTGTGTGAGCATGAGGGTGGTGCCTCAGGTCTGCCTGTGTATTCACGGTTCCCATGTCTGGGGCAGGAAGTTTTGGGCATCTGCCGGTTCCCTCCAGGTGGCTGCCTGGTGACTTCCGGATCCCTGGGCTCTGTCGGGTCTCTGCCTGGGTTGGGCGCCCTTGGGTCCTGGGCCGCTGAGTTCCAAGCTCGGCCTGCCCTGGAGTGGGCAGATGTGGGCAGGCCTTATGGCAAAGCTGCTGGTTGCTCCCCCTAACCCAGTCTCCGCACTCCGGGAGAGACCTCTGGGGCTTGGAACACCTCCACACTTCTGTGGGTCTTTGGGGGGGAGGTCTGTGGCTCCTCGCACTATTGAGTTTCAAATACGTTTATTAGGAAACCAGTCATTTAGCAAGGAAATTGGCATTCAACACTTGTTTTTCCATATTTTGAACTAAAAAAAAACTAAAGTTTAAGAGAAAAAGACAAACAAAACAAAAGAAATGGGGCCAAGAGTAATCCCCCCCACCCACCCCCAGGAGTACATGCGTCTAGGAACTCAGTCTGAGTTTCCTGCAAGGTGAGTGATCAGGGGTTGCCAAATCCTGTCAAAGTCCTTCAGTTTATCCTTCAGGATAAAACTACAGGTGCTTTTGACACACCATGTCGGCAAAACGGTGTAATATTACTGCAATGTTAGGTCTATAAGCGCGCCATGCCGGCATAGCGTTGCGTGAATTTTGCAAAATTCGTTCCACCTCGCTTGGTAATTATATTGCTGCATGAGCCCCTCACCTCTGAAGGACTGGGGTAAAGCCAGCCTCCACTCGCCGATCCACGGTAAAGTGAGCCCTCACTTGATTTTGCTAGGCACACACATTCACAGCTTTACGGTAGAAGCTCGGGCCACTGTTTTTCAAAATAGAAGCCCATCTCAGAAATGTATTTTCTGACTGCTTATATGAAAAAGACTTAAAAAACGGAATTCAAAAGTTACCAAATTATATTTATATCGCCATTTTTACCAGTTTTTCAAAATAAAAGCCCATATCAGAAACTTCATTTCTGACTGATAGTTTAAAAAAACTTATAAAATGGAATTCAAAAGAGACAAAATTATATTTATTTTGCCATTATAATTTGTTTGTCAAAATAAAAGACCATCACAGAAACGTATTTTCTGACTGAATTTTTTTAAATTTAAAAATGGAATTTAAATGTTACCAAATAATAGTTCGAAGGATCTTTCATGGCGGTTAAAACGAAGAGTCGGAGTACCCGGCCCGGAGGGTTACCGGGGTCCCACCCTGGAGCCAGGCCTGGGGTTGGGGCCCGTGAGCGAGCGCCTGGTGGCCGGGCTTTCGCCCATGGGGCCCGGCCGGGCCCAGCCCGAACCGGATACATGGGCTCGTCCAACTGTGGACCCACCACCCGCAGGAGGAACATGAAGGGTCCGGTGCAATGTGAATCGGGTGGCAGACCAAGGCGGGAGCCTTGGCGGTCCAATCCCCGGACAAGAAAACTAGTTTTTGGGACATGGAACGTCACCTCGCTGGCGGGGAAGGAGCCGGAGCTTGTGGCAGAGGTTGAGCGGTACCGGCTAGATATAGTCGGACTCACCTCGACACATTGCATTGGCTCTGGAACCCGAGACCTGGAGAGGGGTTGGACACTCTACTTTGCTGGAGTTGCTCCGGGTGAGAGGCGGAGGGCTGGGGTTGGCTTTTTGTTAGCCCCGAGACTCTCTGCCTGTGTGTTGGGGTTTACCCCGGGGGACAAGAGGGTAGCTTCCTTGCGCCTTCGGGTCGGGGAACGGGTCCTTACTGTTGTTTGTGCTTATGGGCCAAATATCAGTTCAGAGTACCCACCCTTTTTGGAGTCCCTGGGACGAGTGCTAGATAGTGCTCCATCAGGGGACTCCATTGTCCTGCTGGGGGACTTCAATGCTCACGTGGGCAATGACAGCTTGACCTGGAGGGGTGTGATTGGGAGGAACGGCCCACCTGATCAGAACTCGAGCGGTGTTTTGTTATTGGACTTCTGTGCAAGCCGCAGTTTGGCCATAACGAACACCATGTTCGAACATAAGGATGCCCACCGGTACACTTGGTACCAGGGCAGCCTAGGTCACAGGTCGATGATAGATTTTGTAGTCGTATCATCTGACCTGCGGCCGTATGTTTTGGACACCCGAGTGAAGAGAGGGGCGGAGCTGTCAACTGATCACCACCTGGTGGTGAGTTGGATCAGATGGCAAGGGAACATGCCGCGTAGACCTGGCAGACCCAAACGCATAGTGAGGGTCTGCTGGGAACGCCTGGCAGAAGAACCTGTCAAGACGGTCTTCAACTCCCACCTCCGGCAGAGCTTTGACCACGTCCCGAGAGCAGTGGGGGACATTGAGTCCGAGTGGGCCTTGTTCCACTCTGCGATTGTCGAGGCGGCTGTTGCTAGCTGTGGTCGTAAGGTGGCCGGTGCCAGTCGTGGTGGCAACCCCCGTACCCGCTGGTGGACACCAGAGGTTCGGGGAGCTGTCAGGCTGAAGAAGGAGGCCTACAGGGCGTGGCTGGTCTGTGGGTCTCCGGAGGCAGCAGACAGGTACCGGATAGCCAAGCGGGGTGCAGCAGTGGCAGTTGCCGAGGCAAAATCTCGGGCGTGGGAGGAGTTTGGTGAGGCCATGGAGAAAGACTATCGATCGGCTCCAAAGAGGTTCTGGCAAACTGTCCGGCGCCTCAGGAGAGGAAGGCAGCAACTCGCTCACACTGTTTACAGTGGGGATGGGGAGCTGCTGACGTCAACTGAGGCTATAGTCGGACGGTGGAAGGAATACTTTGAGGAGCTCCTCAATCCCACCAATGCGCATTCCGAGGAGGAACCAGAGCTGGGAGGCCTGGGGATGGACTGTCCGATCTCGGGGGCAGAAGTTGCTGAGGTAGTCAAACAACTACACAGCGGCGGAGCCCCGGGGGCGGATGAGGTTCGTCCTGGGTATCTCAAGGCTATGGATGTTGTAGGGCTTTCATGGTTGACACGTCTCTACAACATTGCGTGGTCATCGGGGGCAGTTCCTAGGGAGTGGCAGACCGGGGTGGTGGTCCCCATCTTTAAGAAGGGTGACCTGAGGGTGTGTTCCAACTATAGGGGGATCACACTCCTCAGCCTCCCTGGAAAGGTCTACTCCAAGGTACTGGAGAGGAGGGTCCGATCGATAGTTGAATCTCAGATAGAGGAGGAGCAATGTGGTTTTCGTCCTGGCCGTGGAACTGTGGACCAGCTCTATACCCTTGCAAGGGTGATGGAGGGGGCATGGGAGTTTGCCCAACCAATCCACATGTGCTTTGTGGATTTGGAGAAGGCTTATGACCGTGTCCCCAGGGGCACCCTGTGGGGGACGCTCCAGGAGTATGGGGTGGGTGGCTTTCTGTTAAGGGCCATTCAGTCCCTTTACCAGAGGAGCGTGAGTTTGGTCCGCATAGCCGGTAGTAAGTCGGACCTGTTCCCAGTGAGGGTTGGACTCCGCCAGGGCTGCCCTTTGTCACCGGTTCTGTTCATCACTTTTATGGACAGAATTTCTAGACGCAGCCGTGGTGTGGAGTGTGTCGAGTTTGGTGGCAGGAGAATCTCGTCTCTGCTTTTTGCGGATGATGTGGTCCTCCTAGCTTCATCCAGCTCTGACCTTCAGCTCTTGCTGGGTAGGTTCGCGGCCGAATGTGAAGCGGCTGGGATGAGGATCAGCACCTCCAAATCTGAGACCATGGTTCTCGACCGGAAAAGGGTGGCTTGCCACCTCCGGGTCGGGGGAGAGGTCCTACCTCAAGTGGAGGAGTTTAAGTATCTCGGGGTCTTGTTCACGAGTGAGGGTAGGAGGGATCGGAAGATCGACAGGCAGATTGGTTCGGCGTCTGCAGTGATGCGGACGCTGAGCCGATCTGTCGTGGGGAAGAGGGAGCTGAGCCAGAAAGCCAGGCTCTCGATTTACCGGTCGATCTACGTCCCAATCCTCACCTATGGTCATGAGCTTTGGGTAATGACCGAAAGAACGAGATCGCGGATACAAGCGGCCGAAATGAGTTTCCTCCGTAGGGTGGCCGGGCTCAGCCTTAGAGATAGGGTGAGGAGCTCGGACATTCGGGAGGGACTCGGAGTAGAACCGCTGCTCCTCCGGATCGAAAGGAGCCAGCTGAGGTGGTTTGGGCATCTGGTCAGGATGCCTCCTGGACGCCTCCCCGGGGAGGTGTTTCGGGCATGTCCTGCCGGCAGAAGGCCCCCGGGTCGACCCAGGACACGTTGGAGAGGTTACATCTCCAATCTGGTCCGGGAACGCCTTGGGGTCCTGCCGGAGGAGCTGGTGGACAAGGCCGGGGAGAGGACGGCCTGGAGCTCCCTAGTTGGGATGCTGCCCCCGCGACCCGGACCCGGATAAGCGGAGGAAGACGAGACGAGACAAATAATAGTTATATCGCAGATTTATTCTATTTTTCAAAATAGAAGCCCATATCAGAAACCTATTTTCTGACTGATTGTTTGAAAAAAATTTTTTTAATGGAATTCAAATGTAAACAAATTATAGTTATATCACCATTTTAATCCGTTTTCTCAAATG